AAGGAAAACCTTTGGGTTTTGTGGGGAATCACGTTCGGTATTTTCCGCCAATTTCCCTTCTAATCAGCGCTCACCGGCGCGGCGGTTACAATGATGTTTTACAGGACGTGCCACGTACATTCCCCCCTGGCTCTTCCTTCCTTCCACCCTCTGTGACGAACACCGAATATCCACGGAATAGATAGGTGTGTTTTTCTCATTCACACACACACGTAATTTCCATTACAATCTCCACATGTGTGTCTTCAGGTTATCTTTTCACATTAAGATAAACACGAACGAATGTTATAGTTTCTCACGCACCCAGTCGGGTCGGTCGGTTACAGTTGGACAACTTTTACCTGACAGTCCGTCGATAAATTGCTTTATTGGCCAATTGAAGGTCAACCGACAGCAGCAACAATCGACTACTTGTTGTTTCGTGTCTCAGTAAATGGATGGACGGCAAAGATTCGTCTTTTTTCGACTTCTTTGGTGGTTGCTGGTGTCGTCTTTCCCAAGCGAAGGCTTTTCACGGCTCAGCCACCGCCACTTGGCCACTCTACCATTCAGCCAGTCACAGGTCAAGTGACCCGCCGCGACTCTTGGCCCATCTCTTGGGCCGTCGCTTAATGTGTTCGAATTATGGGGGTTGCGCCGTTGCCTCGCATCGTTGGCCTTTAGAACACGTACAAACACACCATAAAAGTGCATGATAAATATTATAAATTACATTTGAATACCCTCTTGAGCTGCTCAATTTATCATTCCCCTGTGATGTTTTTTTTCGTTGCTTAGTGAGGGCAGAGAAATCCACGAACTGTTGGTGGCCAAAAGCGAATGTGACTGGGCTCGGCCAAGAGAGTGTACTCTCTCTCAACAGCTTGGAGACTTTTTACATGTATAAATTAAGCAAAAAATGCTTTAGCGGTATGCTGAAACTTTAGCTAGCACTCGGGTCGATCAGTCTTATGGCTTCCATCATAATTTCCGTTAAACTTGGCCATGTTCTGCCGCTGCCATTTACTTGGATCGTTTCGGATGTCACCTATACGATGAGGTAGCTTAATTTGGGTCCATATTCATTAGAACTATATAGCCATAGCCATGGTTATCTTCAGGGGTTATTTATCACCTAAACTCGCCATAAAACTATGATGGCATTGTGGCAGTTCCGCGCGCTATACAAGACCTTCCAGTCATGTGTGTGAGATGCTTGTTTGCACAGAGAAACTCGCCTAATCATTCATGGACCTACTTTATAGAGTCTGATATGCTAATGTGCTCGGTAAACACTCTCCTAAAGGGTATGTCTAGCGATACTTGAGCTTAATTACAAGGGTATACCAGCTGCGGTTTAATCTAAAATGGTCATATTTTCGGTTTTAGTTGGGGAGGTTCTCATATTTCATAAGCCGCATTCGGTTCAATGCCAGGAAGTCCGTTCCGCTTCTGCCGGCCCATAAAAATACAAATACAAATACAATTATGGCCCAACTGGTCGTCGTCCGGCAGTCTGGCATTAATTACTATAACTCGAATTCGAGATCGGGTTACCCGCGTGTGCGTCTATGTGTCCAGGTCTCTCTACCTCGACTGATAAACAGCACTTTGAGCAGACGATGCTCAGGGTAGAGAAAACAGCTTCTTCCATCAAGATAATGTTCAAAAGTGTGTCACGTTTGACATTTGTTTGTGATTCTCCTCTATTCTATATGCCCGTCTGGACTGCTACTATCTCTTCCCGGGGTGTCGGCAGAGAACGTGTGGAAAGTGCGAGACTGTAGATAGCTCTCTCGAGCAGCAGCAAACTACCATAAAAAATTACAACGAACTATGAAACTGTCTTTTTACAGTATAATATGTACTCGTACGTGATCAATGGGGAATTGATTTTCGCGTGTAATTATTAGATATGGCATATAGACACATAGATACTCGGCACAGGCATCGTATCGCCCACGGCGGACTGGCTGGCACTCGAGAAACAAACAACCAGTTTTGGGTCTGGTAGCAAAAGCAAGTCGCAGGTCCGTGGGCGTTTTCATTAAGACGAAACAAGTGGCAACAGGTGGACTCGAGTGGATTCAAGTGGATGTTGCCTTATGGAGTCAAGCTGGCTGACTGGCTGGCTGGCTGGCTGTAGCTTTTGGACTCTTGTCGCTGATGTAATGCATAATGCATACAGCATGCAATCAATTCTGAAATTACTTTACTTGAATTTAATATTTATACTGCTGTTGTTTCCTTTCTTATCACTGCGTTGGTTCGTTGCACTGGCTCTTCCTCCATTTCCACATATCAAAATATGAGTACATAAAGAACTAGCGAGGCGGGGAGAGACGAGACTGAGGCGTATGTATTATCACCGGACTTCCGATGTATTCCAAAACATTGAGAGATGAATCATGAGGTGGAGAACCAGTTTGTCGGACAAATGTGGCAGCCATAGATGTAGAGATGATTCAGCTTAAACTTTACACATTAAAGCATTTGGAGTACACAAAAACACGGGCGTTAAACAAGCGTAACGAATATGGCGCGACAAGTTTTTCATTCACAAAAAACATCGAACAAACGAATAATCAATATTGATACGTAACGTGAAACGTGGGAGCGGAACGGAGACCAAGTTTCCAGTGGTGTCACAATTCTACTCTGCATTCACTTCTCTCCTCTCCGCTGGTCTCCTCTTCTAATCAAACAGCAAACAATTTGGACAGCTTGCACTGTGGGGTTAAGTGGGACGCGTTCCACTTCCACTTTCGGGTTTGACACTTGACTTGCAACGCACTTGGACAGGGGGAGAAAGAGAGAGAATGGAGACTGGGTGCTGCTTTACCGTTTGCTTGGCCACCTTTTTACAGTTTACAGTTTGTCAATGTGTGGCGCGGCGCACTATAAATTGATTATGCTGTTAATTTATTAAATTTTTTTGGACATCAAACTCGTTTTACAGTTCTTGGCTTAGACACACACAAACACTAACACCCAACACACACACTTTGCTATAATTGCTTTCTGCCTGGCCACCGCCTCAAAGCAAAGCACAGAACACAGCACAGGCCACAGCGCTTCGAAAAACAAGTCCAATTCACCTGTAGCTATAAGAGCGTAGCATAAAGTCGCGTCGCGTCACTTCTTGGCCAAGCGAGTGGATCGAGTAGAGCCAGCCACCGACTTTACCACTTTGGTTGCTGCTGCTTCTTGTTGGCTGTTGTTGCTGTTTACAGCGTTTACTCACACACGAAACAGCATAAACGCACACATGCACACACCACTACGATTTATTTTCTTGTATTACTTGTTTTTTATGCTTGCTTCAGCTTCAGCTTTAGCTTCATGTTGGGTTTTGTTTATATGTGTATGCGTTGTTGTTGCATGCGCATAAATTATTGTGAGGAGGAAAAAACACACGTCTGTACACAATAAAAACCTGTTTGTTGCTTTTATATGCCTCTGCGTCTCTCTGGGTGTGTACGAACGCTACGGGACGCTGTGCGGGGGTTGGGATTTGGTTTGATTTGTATGTAGATCGCCTACTTTAGACACTTTTCCTAGCCATCCTCGCACTAAATTTGCACCTTCTTTTCACTGCACTCTTTTCGCAGGCATTTGTGAGCCCTTTCAACTCACCAAAATTCATAAAAACATTTAAATAAATGATCAAATTAAGCGAAAACACGGAACACGAAAAAATGTATACACTTCACACTTTGACGGCCATTTTATTTTCAGTGTGACCGCAAAACTATCTATAGAATAGCCGTCGGGGCCTCGAAAATATACCGAAATATACTTTTTAATGTTCAAAATATACCGTAAAATATACCGATGGAAAACAAATGTATTTTTTTTCACCCACTAATCCGGCACGCAAAATATTCTCGTCGGAAAATGTAAGAGCACCTCTCCAATGCAACACCTTGCCTGAGGGCAACAAAAATCAATGATTGATAAATCGGATAAAATTATAGTTTTGGCGTTAAGAATTCTAAATAGCTAGCAATATCAAATAGAATATCAAAATCGTGGAATTTGATTTAAGATTACGGTAGTTTTACGGTATATTTTTGAAATTAGAAGGTATATTATGAAATATTTGTGTGAGTTTTGCGGGGTATATGATCGTTAATTCCGCGGTCACACTGGCGACCACCCCCAATTCGTGTTTAAATACAAAAATAATAAATAAATAATATGGATAAACTCAATTAAGAATAAAGTGCAATAAAACCAAACAACCAGGACGACCAGTGCAATTCAAAATGGGTGCAAAGTGAGTGAAATCATTTAATTTTCCAGACAGATTTGAAATTTTACCTGCGTGGGTGTATCTGTGAGTGGGCGGCTTTTGTGTGTGTATGTGGTGGCATTTCGGTGTTTGTTTTGAGCTGCCGCCTACTCACACCCACGTCCCGGCATGCGCATTTATGAAAATGCCGTAAGGAAGCCCCAACAAGCCGAGAAAACTAATCGATATTGATAAGATACAGATGCTGATGCAGCTGAAATGTGTATTGAATGTCAAGGACTCAATCGGCCCCACCAAATGAATGCACTTTGCATTGACATATAATTTGAGAGATAACTTGTGTCTGGATGGAGCACTGTAAGTGTTCCCCCGTTTGGTCGTACAAACAGATGTATGGGGAATTCCCTTAGATTGGAGGCAAGTCAAAGCTTTTTGACGGACTGCTCGTACCAAGATGATGTTGCAAATTGATTTGTATAAAGTGAATTGTCATATCGAAGGCTAGCAAGTGTTCGTAATTGCTTTTTAGTTGATCTACCGGATTGATTGTTATCTTATTGAACAAATTCTAACCCCGAAGTGGCATGAGAAAGAGACAATCCCTTGACGTCTCTCTCCACCTATTTGTAGGTGGACAAGCGCTTGTGTGATGTGATTTTTTTCTATCTTCATTCAAAATCAAAACTTGTTTCCCTGTTAATTATACCGTCTGACTACATTCGGCATAAAGATGAGTTGGGGGTCGTCGACTAGACAGTTTCGTGTCGACCATAGATAGGCCATCATGTCTCTGTCTCTGCCTCTGCCTCTGCCTTGTGGATTGTGCGCAGTGAGTAAGGCCAAATGAGTCGGCAAGATCCGATTCAAGCAGACTTCAATCTTAAATCTTCAAATCTCGCATAGCTCCTTGTGATTCTGCTCGTGCACCTGTCGGCATCGGCGCCACCAACACTCGTGCCACAAATTCGCACTAATGGCTTCCAGCTGGAGCCTCTCGAGAACACATACTACCTCAGGTACCGCTATTCGAGCGACAATCGATTCAACGGTTGATTCTGATTCATCAGTTCCTCCCGGGTTTCATAGCATTCAGCATACGGATGGGACTATTCGCCGGGAATCTGTGAAAGAGCTTGCTCCGGGGCTGCTGCAAGTTGAGGGTGTCATCAATCAGCCCTTCGCGGAGCTGGGCACCTCGCTGGTGGTCACCTATCGGGCTGGACCCGATGGCTACGTGGCCAAGTATACGTATGGCAAGGGCCCGCCCACACCGCCGCCCCAGCTGCCGCAATTCCTCAGTCCCAATGCCTTAAAGTCTTCGGTGGGCTAGATCCGAGGCGAATCTATTGAATGAATAAAACCCCTTCAGAAACAGAATCATCAACTGGTTTTTTTCAAAATAAAACATAATTTCATAGGCATTCAATTTAGTATTAGTGACTGACTCTGTTCAGGCATTAGTTAGCACGTTAAAGCCAGTTTTCGGCTAACATAAATGAAGGCTAGAATTATCAGTCTCAAGCCAACAGTCACGGACAAAGCACCAGCCACGGACATGTCTTTTGCTACACTGTTTAGCACGGTGAGCTCTCCACTCCACTCGAAGATCTCCGCTAATCTCTCGTTTAGCTGCTAGTGTTTTCAGTTATTCTGAGTGGTTCCAACGCGGCGCCCCAGCCTGCTGCACAGCTCGTGCCGCACATTGACTTGGAAGATTTCCAACTCAAGCCGGAGGATAACATGTACTCTCTGAGGTAGATACTGGACATAGAACATCAGAGACTGCTCTCAATGCGACTTTTATTCTCATAGAATATATCTTCCGGATATGGCAACGCGTGAGGAGTACGTGGAGCTGATTGATCCGGGTGTGCTTCAGGTCAGGGGCTCGCTAAGTCAGACGTTTGCCGATCAGGGCCTCGACTTGGAGGTGCTCTATGAGGCTGGTCCCTATGGCTATGTGGCCCAGTATAGATATGGGAAGGCTACGGCCACGGACTTGCCTCCTATCCTGGGGCTGCCTGGTAATGTTCTCAAATCCATTGTCGGTTAAAATTTTCTTGAAATAAAAACAAACAAATAACTTTGGATTGTCCCTTGATAGAGGCTGTAAAACTCTGGTTCTCTAACCAGAAGATGCTAAAACTGTTTGTTAGTGGTGAGTTTCAGACTCTCTTGAAACCTCTCAAACTGTTGCCTGCTGAACATCTCTCAATTGCTGGTCGCTCTAAAACCTATTTTTTCGCTCTCTTTCCGCTATCTTCTATTGCTGCTGTAGCTCTAGGCGCCCGCCTGCAACTGTAAATGATACATTTGGCATTGAATTACGTCGCGTGATCGATTCATGGCAAATGCATATGAATTTACATATAACACACCACCCCCAACCCAACACAACCGCAGCGATTGTACATTTACAAAACAAGCTGAAGCTTTCACCTCAGTTCTCACTGCCTCACCTTTGGGTACACTTCCAGCAGCAGCAGCTGTAGCTCCGCTCCGTTCCTCTGCAATCGTGAGCGGCATGCTGAACATTCACGCAGCTCTCCCATATCACATATCACATTTACGAACGACCGACCCGACTAGGCTAGGCCACACAGTTGGCACTCTGTCGCGGTATTGGCTTGTTGACTTATCAATCGGCAGCGGGCACCAGGCAGCAGCAGCAGCAGCCACGCCGATAAGCTGCCACGATGCAGCGTTAGTCTCGTTTCGGAATAACCGATATATTCGTAGATTGTTGTCATAGCAGCAGCAGCAATGTTTAAAGATTGGCGAAGGCAGCGGAGCCGCAGCCACAGGCGCTGGCGACACCACCAACAGCAGCCACAGAAGCCTCCATCCGATAGGTGCAAGTGACTCGTAAACTGTGGATTTAAACAAAACGTTTTGTGACGTTTTTCTGGTTTTTCTCTTGCACAGGGAAACAATGATTGTGTTTGTCTACGACACGGAGTGCCTGAAGGAAGAGGCGGATGATCCGATTAAGGCGGTGCTGTACTTCCATCCCAGCTGGGTCTCCGACTACCAGAAAGTTGCCCTCTGCGGCCAGTTGATGGGAACGACGTACTTCCTCAAGGACTGCTTCTTCAAGCCACGCGTTCTTTCCTTGCAGAATGGCAAGTTTGTGCTCAAGGAATTCGGACGCTTCACACTAGTGAGTGGGGGGACAGCAGCAACGACAGATCCGATCCTAACTGGCTTTCCTCTCTTTCAGGCTGTTGGAACCGATCGAAATATCAGTGATGAGAACCTGGAACATCGCGCGGAGCTGCTGAGCTCACTGCTCAAGTTCTTTCATCGTGACCTGCAGACGCTGTACGACCAGTACGCCGTGCCGCCCGCTCCGAACACCAGGAATCTGTGCGACAAGCTGTACCAGATCTTCGAGACATATTTGCCCATGATGCACCGCAACGGAGACACATTCCAGAACGTTCCTCGTCTCCGCATGCCCAAGGTGAGTGCGGTGATTGCAAGCGGGGTTCCTTTTAACATTGTTTGTGTCCTTTCCAGACCGCCAGTCACATCTTCCTGGAGGCCATACAGGTGCTGCAGAGTTGCCAGGAGACAAAGGGCATACTGGGCGGAGTCATTCTCTATCACAACAAGTACGACGCAACAGCGGCACACCAACTCTTGGCTGTTTACTGACTTCATCTGTGTTTTCTCTCCTCTGTCAGGGTGGTGGCCTCGCAGCTGAGCGACGTGGTGACCAAGAAACTGGTCCTAACCGATCCTCGGCACATCCGCAACGCCGCAGAGCAGTTGACAACGCAACAGTTCCACGTCCCGTATGGCGTGCAGATGATGGTCGTGTACTTGGAGCAGAAACAGTACCGACAGATGGCTGCGGATGCACAGCGTGCCCAGAATCTGCTGATGATTACGGCGCAGACGCAGAATGGGCTGCCGTTTACGAGTGCCAAGCGGAAGCTGAAGCGGGACAAGTCGCTGATCTTTACACACATTCCCGAGGAGGAGCAGGCAACGGTGGACCCGCTGGCGACAATGCCAGCAGCCCGACCCAAGTCCATGCGTCCCACATTCCTGCCGCTGCGGCACAAGAACATGCACAGCAGGGAGCTGCCCGAGACCGGCACGGGGGCGATCAACTTTGACGAGACGGACTCGTATCCCGAGTTCATTGGACGCACGAGTGTGTGCAATACGCCCATGACGGAGAACAAGGTGCTGCCGGTGGCCAGCGTGATGTCCATTTGCGCCGATCCCGAGGAGCTGCCGCTCGCCGAAGATGGCCACAACTTCAACGACAAGGCGGAGTCGCGGCGCCAATCGCTCAAGTCGGATGTGGAGAAGTTCTTCTCGAACTTTATCATCAATCCCAGCAAGCAGTTTACGCGCCGCAAGTCCTCCGCTGATCTGCAAGACGCCCTGCGGGCCATCTCCAAGAAGATACGCAGCTTCACGCCGAACTTCCGGACGGATGTCAACCGGAATGGCAGCGGCAATGGCAGTGGCAGCGGCAGTGCCAGCGATGATCTGTCCTCCCCCTCGCCCGACTATTCGGAGTACGATGAGAACAGCAGCGCCCGCACCATCAACGATCCCACATACCCGGTGTTTATTGCCAACGGCAAGCAGATCTCGCGCAACCTGTTCCAGCAGTTTCTCGATCAGTATTACAAGCTGTGGGGCGTCGCCAGTGCGCAGGCCCACCAGGATGCCGAGCTGGCAGCGCTTGTGGCCGAATTCCAGGAGTTCAACAAGGAAGTCCACAAGCTGGACGAGCACATGCGTCAGCAGGCACTGGCTGACGGCTCCGATGATCCGAATCTCAATCTGTCAACCCGTCAAGTGGTCAAGTCCCCCATGGAGAAGAGCGCCATGAGTCTGCCGCTCAAGCCAGCGGGGGACTTGTGCGGCGTGGAGCCAGCTGCCGCAGCTCCCCTGCAGCGAGGCGCCGGACGTAGTGGTGCTGGTGGTGTACCGCTGACTCCGCTCATGGCAAAGCTCTCGGTGTTGGCCCTCAGCGAGACGCCCTCCATTGAGATTTTGACTCCACTGACCAGCAGCATGGTCTTTCCATCCCGCAGCTTCGTCAAGTGTGAGGACGCAGTGGATGCCTTTGCGGCACAGTCCATTGTGCCAGTGAATCCAGCGCCCAGCCTGGCAAATGGCATGCAACGCACGGAACTCTACACCTGCGGACAGAAGAACATGACGCTGCTGCTGCTCATGGAGGAGGGCACCTCCCAGAAGCAGGAAGTGGTCCAAAAGATGGTAAGTTTATGCCTGCGCTGTCCTCTGATATATTCTAATTAGATCTCCCTCTGTTTAGTTTGACATTTGTGTGGCGAAATTCCCCCACATGGAATCTCAATTGAGTCAAACGCTGAATGCCAATCTGGAGGGCGATATGCCTGATTACAGCAACTACAGCTTCATGTGTGTGGATGCCAAATGGGATGTTTTGGAGCGCAGTGGACCGTGGAATTCATTGGAGCTGAAAATACTCGAGAGCATGCATACCGCAGACTCCGATGGGAAGCACGGTGGCCTGACGGACTTGATTTTACGGTGGGTAGCATACAGCTAGATAAATAAACCAAATCTAATGCCAATTATTGACACTTGTAGATCCCAGGATTCCGTTTACTATCGCCACAAGTGCGGACGGACAGAGTTCTACTACAAGGAGCCGACCCACCGTATCAATGGCATACCGCCGCCCTCGGATCCAGTCAGCAACATACAAAATCGTGCCAAGGCGCAGCTGGAGCGTGATCACTCCTACATGTTGTTCTAGGAACAAATAACCAAAAACCATTACAAAATGGAATAGTATCATATTGAATACTCGCATGCTTAACCAAAAGAAAACAGAAATTGTTTATTGTGGGGCTGATGCCTGCTTCGGCGCCCACAAAATGCCAACATTATGCCATCCGCTGTTAACTTACTTTGCCATCCTTAAACGTCCCTGGCCGTCCATTTGGCAGCCCCTTGAATTGTGCTTGAAGAACCGAGAAATATCAACCATCTCCTCCCGCTGTCCATATCATCAAGTGAACAATTTTAAACAAGTTTTACCTTTTATATGCAATTTACAAGCGACAAGAACATGAAGACAGAGACATGTCTTTCGTTCGATTTTAAAAACAAGGTATCAGAGGGGTACTACCCTTTGACCACATATTTTCCTATGCACAATTCAAGAGGCTGGCAGGCAGACTCGACTCGAGCCAGCGAATTAATTTGCATTTCGTTTTTGCTCGTTTCAAACTTGAATGTAAAGTACAAAAAATGTTTTCTAAGCTTTTGTTTGCAATGTCCAGCACTGTTGTTTAATTTATAAGCGATATGATTGAACATTTCCATTATTTAATTAGTTTTTAGTTGTGCGGAGAAGAGCGGGAAGATAAGCCAAAGAATGTAGTTTATATTTCGAATGTAAATATGCAGCGCAGTGGGAAAATAGTTTATGTTTAGATTCAATTATGTGTAACCCAAATTGGTTTTATGCCCAAACTAGTAGTGTGTTTTAATAACTAATCTAAAGCTTAGCTCAGCTGTTTCTCCTACGTGTAATATTATTATCAAACAAAGAAGTTTTAAGCGCTTTGTGCCAATTAAAAGGAGTTTAATTACCCATAGAATGTGTGCGTGAGTGTGGAAAGTGAATGTGAATGTATGGAAAGTGAGTGTAGAACCAGGGAATGTACAACTTAAAGTGTTGCTACGAAATGAGGCAAGCAGGGCAACTATTTTGTGTTGATTTTAGCTTGAATATATATACCAAAAAGATGATTATTTATACATATAAATAGACATACATATTCCCATATTGATAACCGAATGAATCTACGTGTAGATTTTCAAAATAAAAACCAACCAAATCGTTGTTTCAGACAAATACTTTCGAGGTCTTTGAGGCAACTAAAACTATGACTGATGCTTCTACTTATAGCTAATCTTATATCCATGCCTATGGCATCTTCATAACTATCCAAGGAACACGATTATAATACTTGTAGTGATAATAGTCGTAGGCAAGCTTGCCCAGTATGAGAAGTATGAGGCTGGCCAGCACGCCATTCAGCCAGTCAATGGGATGTATCTGCGAGCCACTCTCCGCACTCACATTGCACATGTCCTGCCGACTGAGACTGAGCACCTTGGCCAGCCGCAGCTCATCCTCCTGCATATAGGTGCACGTCACATTCCACGCATCCCTCACAATGTCTCGGTACTTGTTGAGCAGCTCCCGCAGTCGCATGCCAAACTTGCAGGTGCAGTGCCAGGGATTCTTGCTCAGCAGCAACAGATTCGCATTCTCATTGTCGTTCAGCGCATTGTCCAGGGCATAGACGTGCAGCTTACGCAGATTGTTGCCACGCAGATTGAAGAGGCGAAAGTTCTGCAGCCAGAAAGTGTTCTCCAGATCGTCCACATTCGAGATGCGATTGTTCTCCAGATGCACATCCACCACATGGCGGTAGTGGGGATTGTCCCGCAGCGGATTGATGTCGCTGATCTGGCATAGAAGTGGAGCTAAAACTACGACCCTTTGGCACAATCTTGTCTCTCACCGTCTCTTACCAGATTATCGTTGATGGTCAGCGTTGTTGTGTTCTCTGGCAGATAGGCGGGCAGGCTGTGGAACTGCATGTGGGAGCAGTTGACCGTGTACAGTGGAATGTGTGTCTTGGGCAGAATGTGATGCATCAGGCAGGTGCAGTTCCTGAGGTCCGGATGCGACTGGCACTCCTTTTTCAGCTCCTAAGAATGGGAAGCATCAGCTAGAGTCAGAGTATCGTTGAGAGTCCCACAATGCTCACCAATTTGTAGTGCATCACCAGCAGCATCTGTCGCTCCTTGTACTTGCGATCGGTGCACAGCAGCTCATCCCGATCCACCACGAGGCGCCCCTTCTCGGGCTGCAGCAGCAGCCACTTGAAGTTACGCGTGCAGTTCCAGGGATTGCCGGCCAGGTAGAGCTGCTCAAAGGAGCGTGGCAGCAGCAGCGGCCCATCCAGCTGGATGAGCTGATTCCAGCGCAAATCTAAGACCTTCAGTGTGTGCACCCGCTTGAAGGTGCGCGCCGAAATGTACGAGAGGTTCGTCCACGAGATGTTGATGCTCTGCAGATAGGCCATTTCGGGAAAGTCAAAGGTGAACTCCGTGAAGCCGCTGTACTCGATGGTCAGAGCGCGCAGTCTGGGCAGTTTCTGCAGCTCGCCCAGGAACCTGGTGGCATCCAGCGGCCAGCCACACAGCAGCATTTGCTGTGCAGGCAGCGGCTTGCCCAGCTTTCTACAGTCAAGGAGAGTCAATTTAGGAACAAACCATTGGGTAAGGTGCAGCTCAAACTCACGCCAATGCACCCAGGTTGTTCATGCCGCCGTAGCACTTGAGGAACCCATTGCGGCTCAATCTGGAGCAGTTGCCGCCCGCAGCCTCTGGCATGGAGGTCCAGTTAAAGCAGCTCTGACTGTAGCCAGCCGGCATTCTCATGGTCGTGCTTGGGATGGCCTCAAACGCTGTCAACGTCGTTGTCGTCTCATTGCTGTCAACAGCCGTGACGTGGTGGAGTCTAGGAAAACGGGTAAATTGGTAAGTAAATAATTTGGTTCAACCCTACACATCTCTGCCCGATGGCTTTGTGGTCTATTTTTAGCTCAGTCAGCTATCCACAACTGGTGATAATTCCGTCGCACTGCGGACACGGGACCCGCGACCCGCGACTCTCGTTTAGGGCTTGATAAGCAGACGCCAGGTAAGTCTTGATTGCTTTTGGGAAAAACACAGCCTCAGATAGAGACTAAATAATTAGAGCTAGTTACTAGTTGTAAGAGGTTATATCAGCGGTACGAGTGGAGAGGTTTCATCTCAAATATGAGTAGAAGTTTTCGGGTTTTGGTTTACTTTTAACGAACAGACTTGGGTAAATATATTCTAGATATTCTTCCTAGAGTTCCACTACTCAAGTACGAGTTAATCTGCGTAGTATGGGCTGTTGTTTGCACTGTCTATACGCTATATAGCTATTCTATTAGCGAGCAGAGAGCCCAAAGTATATCACATGATGCTCTCACTTAGCACGTACAGAGGTGGCAGATCGCTGTGTGACAACATTTCCGAGAGCTGTCAATGTTTACCAGGAATTATTTGGGTATTTGGTGGAGATATAATCTTGAAACTGGATAAAGTCGTTGCTCTTTCAGATGAATGTACAAAGATGCTGAACAACTGAGCGCTTTATAACCCACAAGCTGCTGGTTACACTTTCAGTTACAGATAATCTTATATATCAATCGACTTGTATATCCCGCCGTGTTCTTTGCCATATATCATATGTATGTTTGTGTGTCTAACACACAATTAGCAACTATTCGTAGCACTCGGTTCGCCTTCGAGGTGTTAAAATGAACAATTCACAATTGGAAATATAAGAATAGACATTCGAAAATATTTACTTAATAAAAAGTCGACAAGAAATAACTATAGTTTCGTAGCAGCTTTGTTTGCAGTCAAATTCAAGGGGCAGCAACAATTTGTGAACAATAAATATTTGATTACTTATGTTGGGGTCTTTAATCGTGCCATTCCTTAATATAAACCACTCATGCCGAAACTCTTTCTCTCTCTTTTTCTCTGAGTGAAAATTATCGTTAATTAGCATTGGCAAATTCTTAAAGTACACGAAATGCCAAAACCAGACCTGAATTCATTATTTTTCAGTTAATTCTGCCACGAAATTGATCTTTATTTATTCGTAGAAGTTTCCCCCAACGTGCACCATGGCGTATGATTAATAAAGATTCGTCTCTGAGGCGCGCCGCAATGTCAGATATTAATTGAAAAGTTTCACTTGTAGAGCATTTATGTCCATTGAGTGTGTTCTCTGGCGTCACAGGCGTTTCATTTAGACAATCATATCGGTTCGATTTGGTTCGGCAAGTGGCAGAGGAATAAAAGATGAAATTTATGGCTAATTTATGGGATAAGTGTTGGGGCCAGCACAACACACGCTGGGTTATGCTGCCAAAAGGGAGCTCCCGTGCCTTCAATTTTCAATATTTATTGTGGCACCATCCACACAGATAAGAATCGATAAAAGGTAATCTTTTATTTGGTTTCTTCTTCGTACGAACCCCCCAGACAATGCTTCGACACTTGAAACAGGTCTATCAATTCAACAATGTAAATAAATCTGAATAAATCTACTTATGAAACGCTCACGGCAGCGGCTGTCAATTGCTTTTGATTCGTTTGGCGATTGACAGAACAGAAAATAGACAAAAGAGGAGGCGAAATGAGATCGCCATTGAATGCCTACCGAAATCCGCAGCTATCCGTATTCCAGATCTAATGGCATTTTGGTGTTGTATGAATTTGATAAATAAAATAAAAATAAACGCCTTGTGATAAGACTGTCAAAATAGAATATCTCAAAAAAATATCACATTTCCCTTCCGTGAAGGCAAAGAAGTTCTCTGCAGACTTCTCTATGTGGGGTGTGGTGTTGCATAGATAAGTAAAGTCGTAGAAGACTCGCAGCAATCGGTGGGACTTTGACTTGAATGCTGAGGAAGTTGCTACCGCTACCTGGGAAATATACGGCCTCTAATTATGTCTCTGGCATAGTAAATCTCAGCAATCTCAAAGTGTCAACAGAGATGACAAGTAGAACTACAAAACTATTGCAAGAAATGCTCCACCAATGTGTGGGGTTGATGTTGATGTTTTATATTTTGTGTTGGCTTTGTATCAATTGGACTTTATATTAACCATAAAACCCAATCAGCACGGATCCAATAAAGAGCCCCGCTCTCTGATTTGGTTTCAACGATAACTTTGGCACGGGTAGAGGCGGTTTAACCCACATATGGAATGGCCCAGAATAGGATTTAGTGTGCTTATTAATAAATAAGCTAGACTAAACACAGACACAGATGAGTGCTGTAAACACTTGATAAGAGCCATAGACACACATTTGCTTACATGACACCAAAATGCGCATACGCCGCTTTACCTCATCATCGAGACCATCACCAAGAGCAGCGAAAGGGCGCCACTCACAGACCACTTTTCATGCGTACACCCACGGATGTTGGCTCGCCGTGCCATGATCTCTTTTAACAACAGGAACCAAAGTCTATTTTGGGATATTGTTTATGCAAATTTTGTTTAATTTTCACGTGGAATACGAAAACTTATTCCATTGTCACAAAAGTTTGTTGCCGAAATTTGTCGAAATTTAGCGCACATAATTAGGAACATATTTATTTTAATATCGCTAAGCAGGCATGGCTGATGTTCCGCTGTTTAATCGCCACTTAATATCCGCGGGTGTCTCTTCGCTGCCATGTGCCCAAGTTCTGTGCTCTGTTTTGTGCTGCTCTTTGCGCGCTTTAAGTTCAAATGAGGCGCGTTTGCGAATCGCTGGTTGATTTTGGTTGGTTCTTCCTCTTTGACGCCACAGATCTCCACCAAAAACAGCTGACCAGAGCGGAGAGAGGAGAGTGTGAGAGCGCGTGAGAGCCGTTACGTGGGGGGCTCGTTCGTATCTCGGAGCAGCTGTTTGGGGTGAGGTTGTTGATTTACGATCACTTTCAGGGTCGATGTTTGTTGTGTGTTCGTATTAAATGATGTGCATATGTTTCTGCAACATGTTGACTGGAGACATGCGCATCTACACTACCTGGTTCAACACTCGCCAGCTTTGGCGCATACAAATGGCCAACAATTGGCCGACAAACCGTTATGGCTAAACAAATGGCTAATGTGTCGAATAAAAGTAATTAATAATCCATAGAGCACGAGGTGTATGCAATCGTTGCCCGGTGTAACATCATCTTTATTGTACATCAAAATATGGAACGCACTTTGATCTGGTCAGCGCTAAGCTACGGAATATAGTTAACAAAAACCGTTCACTAGACACAAATATATAGTGCGCAATACGTGTATAAGATATATATATATGTATTTGCATCCTGTATGTGCGGCTGTTTAACAATCTATTTTGGGGGTCTTTGACTTTCGAGTTTTGTGCTTGTCTTTGCGGCAGTTTTGCCTCTTTGGACCAGTGAAATGCAATGATAATATATCTACATATGTATTTGCATATGTTTGTAGGTACATATGTTCAACAGTTGTCTCTTTTGTGCAGGTACACTTATGCCTCCTCCTCCTGCCTTTTGTCTACACTAAAATTTTGGTATAACATTGACTAAAGCTGAAATATCTGGACATTCACCTAATTACTATCCTGAGTGGGTGTGTTACGCCCATTGCTGCCAGTAGCATTGGGTGTTGGGCCATCGCCAGCTGCCTGCACCTTCTCGTTGGTCTCTGCCTGCTTCTGGCGCTCGTAGTCACGCACATCCTCCAGTGTCATGCCGTGCCATTCGTCCAGCCAGGCAAAGGCCTGGCGATGGCCCAGCAGCAGTATGTCGCGTATGCCGCGCTGTATAAAGTCCTCAACCTTGGTCTGCAGGCCCCAGACCTCAAAGCTGGCATGGACTACCTTGTAGGAGCACATGATGGGCTTGTCCGTTTCCCGCCAACCCTCAACCAGTGGACCGCGATCTAAAGCAGGGAAAGAGTGTAACAATTAATGTCTGGGTAGTCGCGACTTGAGGGTTACTTTACTTGTTTTTATGGATTTAAAGAACTTGGGATCTTCCTCAGGCTTGTAGTGCTTGGGGCTGAACTCATCAAAAGCAATGTCCAGGTGATCCACAGAGCGCAGCTTCAGCTCCTCCTCGCTAAGATCCAGACACTGTCAAAGAGATTTGGTATAACAAAAGAGAATACTGCCTGGAAGTCTGTGTCTCACATTATCTGTGGTGCCATTGTTGTCCTCATATTTGGTCTTGATCAGGACATTCAACTTGGGTATAAAGGAGCACTGTGAATAGAGGGAGGAGCGGTTTAGCGGAGGACATACAGAAATAAACTTTTGTGTGTAATTACCGTATACTCTACATGGGTAGGGTGGAAGGTGGGTTCCAATTACAGTTCCATTATGGCACATGAAATTTTAATGAGAAAATCGAAATCAATAATCCATTCTAAATATATCTCTGGCGTGTGTCTAATAAAACGATTTATAAATAAGACCGCAGCAAAGTAAAAGTACAAATCGAATGCCAATCAGAGACTTGCAAACTGATCCGAGCACTTATAAAGCCATAAATATGCGTGATAGATAAGGGAATCAAAGGGAATCATAAGCTGGTTGGCTTATTCGGGGAAATATCTATTTACATACATGTGTAGCTCTCTGAGTGCACTGTGGACTTATGTGTAATCTGATATTATCAGAACAGAGCGGAGGAATGTGCTGGGAATTCCAGCATTTGTTAACAATTGGCCAAACGCCGATTGGAACCGAGTCGCTGTCTGTTCTGCCCAGCATGAAGTTGATATCGGCTGCCATGATGCCTAGCAATGGTGACGTATTGGTGGCATGACAAGTGTGCGTAAGACTTTATGGGGGGCTTTATCGGCAGACAAACCCCCACCAACACATGCCCTTGTCTGATTGATATCCCCGGAATAGCTTGATGTTCTAAGAACGGACAAGGCCTGGGCAGCTGCCATATGGCCACAGTAGAAAGTGTAGTAATTGAATGCTAAGGATAAACACAAGGTGCGTGTGGGGAGCGACACGACACCCCCCGTGGATGCGCACGCCCAGTCAAAGGTGGGCTGCTGCTGTCCACCCACTCACCTGTTAGTGTGTAGGGATAGTAGTTCCAGGATTTCTCTATCACATAGAAAACGCGCGGGCAGATGGCTTGCACCCAGTAAGGCAGTCGACTGTTTTCGGAGGGGGAAGCGAACGAATCTTTGATTAGCTGCCAAAAGTCTATGCAAAAACCTGGCGCAGCTCACCTGGACAAGTGGATGTGTTTCTCTGTGTACTGGCCCTTGCCGTGGACATCATCTTTACAGGGTTTGTTCTCCACCACCTCAACGCCTTCGCCCTCCTCGGACTGTTCCAGACTATGGCGTGCTATCATATACAGCTGGCCAATTTTGTACTAAGAAATAATGACATAAAATCAGGTGCTGGCGACAAATGATGGATGGGCTCACCTCCTCCACGGTTAGCGGCATGCACACACGATATTCCTTCGTCAGCACCATGTCACAGCGTTTCAAGACGAGCCTTCACAGAAATTAAAATTCCAAACGTTACGCAAAAAAATCCGCCGCACACAACTCGCCAGGCCGCAGGGTGACCGTGGAGATATTGAGCGAAAACCGCTTGACCCTCAGAAATATACCAAATTATGTCTGGTAGCTTTCAAAAGATACCGTAAATGTAGAGAATTCCAAATAATTTTCCCCGATTTTGATATTCGATTTAATATTTCAGGCTAACTAAGACCCTCATCGCTAAACGTGTAATTTTATGCAATAGGTGAATCAACATTGATTAATTTCAATGACTCCCATTCATTTGATTATCTTTAAAATAAGCTATAAACAAAGAAGATCCAACTTGTATTTTTGCTACATGGTAACTACACGTGCTCTACATATCAAAAGCATATTTTTAGAGTATGAACAAATTTGTATCCTATAATAATTGGACATATTCACTATATAATGTTAAAATTCGTTATGTTTTTGTAATAATTATATTTGTGTTTCTGTTTTGGCTCTTGTGGCAGTACAAAAGTTAAGTCTCTAAGTGCTACATGGCAATAAATAGTCGAAAATAAACCTTAATTCTAATACATCGCGCACATGGCACTGGTCTTTCCTCACAACCCGAATACTATTCACCCCTCGACGCTATGGAATAGCCACCAGAGTGGATCATGGATCAATCTTGAAACTATTCCACAGCGCCGATTATCACATCGTAAATTATACTCCCCATTCTTAAATTAAACTCCATCCTAGACCAATGCCACGAGATTCAAGAGTTTAGTTTGACATTCTCTTCGGCGGCATCAACAGTCGTCTCCATGGATTTGGAGGTGGTGCGTTTCTGCATGCGGAAACGGTAGTAGATCTCCGGTGCCCAGGCCAGAACCACCACCAGAAGCAGCACTATCTGGGCATACAGGCAGATGACATAGGAGTCGGTGTAGTCGCGCACCCATCCCAGCAGCTGTCCCACTGTGATGACAATCACGCCCTTCGACATCATGCTCAGCCCCAGACCGCCGGCCAGCTTGTCCGAGCGACAGTGCGCCGATATTGTGAGATTGTTGTTGATCACAGTGGCAGACTTCATCATGCCTATCAGTATGGACATGGCAATGATGACGCTCAGGTCTTGGCTCTCAGCCAGCACAAGACGCGCAAACAGTAGGCCAGCTGTGCCGAGCAGGAAAACCACGCGGTAGGGTATCCTCAGGTGATCCGTAATGCAGGGCAGCAGCAGGCGACACACAATGTCGGCACCGGCCACCACAGACATGCAGAAGGCCACCACGGTGCTGTTCAGACCAGCCGTCTGGCCGAGAAAGTCGGGAAAAATCATGGTAAAGTTGATGGTGGCCGTGTAGACCAGCGCCATGCCAACAATGATGCTCCAGAAAACGGCGTCCTTGAGCAGCTCCAAATCCATGGCCTGGACCAGTCGATTGCCCATTCGTCGGCACAGCGACTCGGTCTTTGGCTGTGCTTCATCGATCTTGCTTTGTGTGGCTACAACGACAATCTGCAAGGGACTCGATTGACCCTTCTCCCCGTCCGTCTCGGCCAGCAGGCGAATGTGTCGGCGGTTATTGTGCTTGACGGGCGGATTCAGTGGCTTCAAAAACATGGCACCAAAGAGCTGAAAAAACGAACAGAATTAGACCTGATTTACATATGAGATGTTCGTTAAAGACTTACCCCAGTCAGTGAGAGAGCAGACATGGCGAGGACTGCAAGCCGAAAGCCGTGGTTATCCAGGAAGTAGCGCACCACGTGGGGAATGAGCACTTGTCCAACGCCAGCACCTGCCAGCGAGACGCCCACGGCACGGCCTCGCTTGCTGCTGAAGTGGGAATTGATGGCCATGAATGTGGAAGGCGAAATGAGTCCCAGGCCAAAGCCCACAAAGAAGCTGTAGCCGACGATGAAATGCCAACTCTCTGTGGCAAAGGAGCACAGCGCCAGGCCAAAGGAGACCAAGATGCAGCCCGTGGCTGCCACATTTCGCGGCTTAAAGCTCTTAATGGCAGGCCCAACGAACAGGCCCGAGAAATTCAAGGCCAAGCTGTTTAGGTTCGTGATCAGCGCCGATGTAAAGGTGTCCTCGTTCATCCGACGCAGCTCACCCACAAAAAGCTGTCCAAATACGGACAAAATGGACTGATTTGTCATCTGTGAGGGTGAAAAAAGAACAACAATGATGTGGGTTAGTTAATTTTTAATTCTAAAACGCAATTGTTGATTGCTTACATTAATGACGGCCACGGCTGCCACCACAACCCATCCCCAGCCACCATCTGGAACAACACGGCTCGTCTGCACATCCATATCTGGCTAAATACGCTCCAAGTTTGCTAATACAATGGCTTCGGGCAGCTGAAAACAGGTAAGATAAGCATATTAAAAACGTTTGTCTTGTTTATGGCATTGATAGAGAGTCAAGATAAGCAGAGCAGAGACCCAAGACACCCAAGCATAACTGAAGCTGACGCTGACTTACGCGTCTATTCGCCTGAAGGTGAATGATTTGTATCTTCATTCCACAGACACGGCGTGTCCATTTCGTAAACAAATCTCCGCGAATTAACAAATTAAATTAAATTGCTTAAATTGCTTAATTTAGTCGGCGCAGTAAAAAGACGAAAATCAACCCTGTTTTGTTTCGATACCATTTTATCGATAGTTTTGGAGATGGTATCAATCAGCTGTGCCAGTTCAGACTCGAATAAGTTAAATTAACAATTTGTGCGCATTTTCCTTAATTATTGGGCACCTGAGGCATAATGCCGTGCTTTATGTGCACCCATAATGTGAATAACGCCATCAGCAATATCAAATTCGATTCCGTCGAAGCTGACTCGCTCGGCTTAAAGCAAATAATTGAAAAACACTTTTGGTTTCGGGTAAACAAAAACACAAATCGCTTGACTTGAGTTTCGAATAAATTTGGACGCTTTTCATTGCAGTTGACTGATTCAGTCAGTGGCTACGTGTGCGGATCATGCTGGGAACAACTGTTGCTGTTTCACAACTTCTATTTAACCGTGGAGAATGCCCACAAAGCCCTCGCCGCACTGGCAACAAAGCAGCCCGAGGAGACCGAAGAGAACAGCACTCCAACAGCCGTGGTTGCCGCCGTTTATGGCGGCGCTGTAAAGGATGAGAACGAGGAAAGCGTGGCAGCTGCCGTGAAGCGCAGGCGTGGGCGTCCACGCAAAACGCCTGCCGCTGCCAATGACGAAGAATTTCAGAACGTGCTGGAGCAGATCAATTTAAATGAGATTAAAATTGAGTATCCCGAGGCAGATTTGACCATCGCAGATGTGCTGGAGGATCAGGAGGAGCAAGACTTTGAGTCACACAGTGACTGCGCAACGGAAGAAGACGAGGACCAACTGGAGAAACCCACACCGACTATCACTCGCAAGGCTCGTGGACAAGCCCGCGGGCGTAGCCGTGTGCGGCTCGTAGAGAAGCCAAAAAAAGCCCCCGTGTACAATCAGCAAAAGTCGAGCGAGTTCAATGAGTACATCAAGCAGCACTACAAGATGCAGTGTCCCGTGTGCAATGCCCCCATGGAGGGTTTCTCGGATATGCTCGTACATGTGCGACGGGAGCATCATCAGCGCGGCTACGCCGTCTGCTGCAATCGAAAGTTTAGGAAGCGCGGCGTACTGGTTGACCATCTGCGCCGCCACGAGGATCCCGACCTCTTCAAGTGCACAATCTGCGATCGTGTAATGGGCCAGCGGCGCAGCCTTGAACTCCACATGCGAATGCACAACGCCAAGTCGCAGGGGCGGCTCTACCAGTGCGATCATTGCTCGAAGAGTTTCTACAGCGCCGTCGTCTGTGAACGCCACAAACTAACGCACATTCCTAAGGAGCAGTGCCAGGTGAAGTGTACCAACTGCGACAAGACGTGAGTGCGCCAGCCCCTGAATTGGTTCTAAGACTTCTGATTCATTCTCTAATTTGCAGCTTCCCCACCCAATACACCATGCAGCAGCATTTCAAGCTCGTGCACTTGAACTTATATGCCAAGATCTGCGACGTTTGCGGCAAGTCGATACGCGGACGGGAAGCACTCGCCCGCCACATGAAGGAGCACACGGGCGCACCGCAGGCCACCATCGAGTGCCATTTGTGCGACTCCAAATTGACCACCAAATACGGCCTGGCGCGTCACATCAAAATGATGCACACTCTCGAGAATCTACAGCCGATGCAGTGCGAGCTTTGCCTCAAGGTTTCACCCAGCCTGCAGGCGTATCAGCATCACCTGAAGTACACCCACAACACGGCACGCAATCATCAGTGTCCGATGTGCGAGAAGGCCTTTAAGCGGCCCAACGAATTGCGGGTAAGCCAGAGGGAAGTCTGCCCGTCTGTCTGATAGCCTTTTGAACCTTTGGGGTTGTTTTGTTTCTAGGAACACTTGACAACGCACACGGGCGAGGTGCTGTACACCTGTCCCCACTGCACGCAAACCTTCAACTCGAATGCCAACATGCATGCCCATCGCAAGAAGGTGCATCGAAAGGAGTGGGAGGAGTACCGCCGGCAGCGCTTGGTGCGGGGACGCAAAAAGGATTCAATTATTGCAGCCAGCGTGCGCAAGACCACCGCGGGCAGAGAGGACGGCAGTGCAGAGCCACAATCCACTGCTGTCGAGGCTCTAGCTAGTCCTCCTGCAGCGGAGGAGTGCTAACAAAGTGGCGCATAATAAAGCGAAAAGTAAATTCTGTTCAAAGAACTGCGAGAATCAATGTGTAAAGTGGGGGCTGGACGACTGTAACCGGCTGTAACTGGTTCGCGGATTGCACCCTGATCATCTCGAACTGGTATAACGGACATCGATGCTGCCTTATCAGCGATTAAGGTCGAGTCTGGTAATCACTTTTTATTATATTTTCATACCGCGAGCACATATAGCACATGGCTCTGTGGCTCAAGCTGGCTTCAGACACTCGAACCGGTTTGGTTTGGTTTTTTAAGTGGATCTGCTCCACGTCTTATCAACGGATTGGATTGGCATTATCATGCTTAGTTCAAAGGTACCATCGATCGGCGTGTGTGTTTATGTCGTTTTTTCTAGTCTCATGCAGAATGCTTGAAATCTGTGCCATCGAAATAACAAAACAATTTTTTCTTCTTTTTCTAGCAGCATCTCAGAGATCATCCTGTTTACCGATGGAATATTTTTCGATTTGTCAAAGATTTCTAAAAGTACCCAAGATCTTTGAACCTTTTGTAGGTGTTTCCCCACAAAATGTTGCTATTTGCAAGCCTGGGAAATCACTTCAAGTGGTTCCCAGACCAGACAATATAATGGGAATCACAAAGTGAACGACCAAACTTCCTTCTATCGCATCCCAGATCCCTTTTGCCAGTATCCTCTGTACTTACTTGACGAATTATAGACGTATTTTCATTTGCACAAAGAGAGCAGACACTATTTACTTTTTCAAATCTTGTTTGTTTGGTTTTATTTCCACACTATCACCTCTTAGAGGAGTTCTTTTCTAGCTGATGCTTATCTCGCGACGAGCAAATATTGTTTGAGTAAAATGCCTGGCCCCATGCCTTTTTATAATGCCGAATGACAACTGAAATACATTATGGGGCACAATGTGTGGAATCAAATTAAATTTCGCAACGCATATTGGCGCCAAAGTATCGATTAATATCGATTGTTTTTAAGCTGAAATGCACACCTGCCCGCACAGCTGCTTGCAGCTGTCTCTTTCGCTCACACAAACGTGTGAACGTGTCACCCAAGGTGTTTTCCTTTGGATTTTCCTTAATTTCTATTGCATCCTGAACAAACTATAGGCCAGAATGGTGGACGATAGCACCAGAAAGACACTGAGCAACATTCCACTGTTACAGATACGAGCTGGACCACGCGAGAAGGACGTGTGGGTGCAGAGACTCAAAGAGGAATACCAGGCACTGATCAAGGTGAGTGGCGCATATCTACAACAAAACTGTCTCAACTGTTGCATTGCTTGACTTGCAGTATGTGGAGAACAATAAGCAGTCGGGCAGCGACTGGTTCCGGCTGGAGTCCAACAAAGAGGGCACCAAATGGTTCGGCAAATGCTGGTACATGCACAACCTCCTCAAGTACGAGTTTGATGTGGAGTTTGACATTCCAGTGACATACCCAACGACAGCACCGGAGATAGCGCTGCCCGAGCTGGATGGCAAGACGGCAAAAATGTATCGTGGTGGAAAAATCTGCCTAACAGATCACTTTAAGCCACTGTGGGCACGGAATGTGCCAAAGTTCGGAATTGCTCATGCCATGGCTTTGGGAGTGAGTGACACAAAAATATGCAGCAAAGAAATCTACTCATGATTCTCTTTACAGCTGGCACCATGGTTGGCTGTGGAGGTTCCAGACCTCATCGAGAAGGGCATCATCACATACAAGGAGAAATAATTATAAATTCGATTTCTGTTTGGATTGAGGAAGCGGCAAAAGAAAATGAACAAATGCAAAATGTAATATGAAAGTCATTTTATCTTTGCGTTTATTTAGTCAAAAGTCAAATTGGAAAAGATCATGCTTCGTCCCTGCTCCATCAGCTACGTCTTAGTCCTCGTCTCGTCTTGTTTTGTTTCATATTAATAATCATCATCCATCCATCCATCCATCCATCGTTTATCGCATAGCCTAAGTTTTGTGTTTATGTGGTAAGAATTTCATTTGGTTGATTTCATTTCAGTTATTTGATCTGTGAGCTTGTTCCTCCCACCGACTCCTTCTCAGTTCATGTGATTGTTGTTGTTGTGGTTGTTGTTGCGTTGCGAAGACTGACGCCAGGTGTCTGACCAGATTGAGCTTGGCGAGGTGAATGGATCATATTGAGTAGGCAGACTCTCGCCGGGTCCTGCTACTGCTCCAGCTACAGCTCCAATTCCTATTCCTCCAACTGCTGCCACTCCTGCTGCTGTCCCCTGTTGTTGCTCTTGTGCAATGTTGTGCGATGTGGCCAGCAGCTGACTGAGACCCGGTGGCGGGCGCACAACATTCACCACACCCGTCGGCTGATCCGGCCAAGCACCGTAGCCCAGCGGCGACCAGGGCGAACCCCAATTGTTGCTCTCCATATTGGCCAGCAGCAAGAGTTTCTCCTGCTGCAGCTGCTTCTGCTGCTGTTCCTGCTGCCGCTGCTGCAACTCCAATTGTTGGGCCTGCTGCAGCAGCAATTGCTGCTGCATAACCAATTCGCTGCGCTCCCACTGCACCTGCTGTTGTTGCAGCTGTCGTTCCCGTTCCCTCTGCTCGTACAGATCTGCAAAAAGGAAGATTTGAGCTAAAGAGAAACTGCTTGGACTGTGTCTTCTGTGTGTTGCTTACCATCCACGGGTGGCAGCTCAATCTCCGCATTGGCAAAGAGCGAATTGCTGGCTGTGGCCGACAAGGGTTCCCACAAAGATGTCATCGCTGGCGGCGTCGAGTTCTTTCGGCTACCTCCAATCGGTCCGAGATCGCTTGATGATGCAGCTGATGCTCCTCCTGCTGCTGGTGCTGCCACTGGTTGTTCTACGACTGCTACTGGAGGTGCCACCGTTGCTGCTGTGGCTGCTCCTGCCAAATGTATTCCATTATCCATTGGTGCCGCCTGGCTACTGGCTGTTTGTAGCACATCCCTGAACGACACCCGACTGCTGGTCTCCCATGGCGATGTGATGCACTTCATGGTATCCGGCGAGGCTGGTGGCGAGGTGCTGGTTGCGGCTTGGCCAAAGTTGAGCTGCTTCTGACGCTGCTTACGCTCCGATTTCCTCACTGCGCCCACAGACGATGTGCCGTTGGTGGTGGCCTTTTGTTCCTTGCGTCGCTCCCGCTCCCTCTCGCGTCCCGGAGTCTTGCCCAACTTCTTGGCCGATCCATTCTGTTCCTTAAGCACGCGTGGCTCCTGCATCTTGACGGGTTTGGGCGATATATTCTCTGGCTGTGGGGCACTCGGCTTGGGCATTGGTTTCTCCTGCACCTCCTGGACGACTGGGGTACACACAGGCGAGGGTTCTGCTTTGGGGGAAGGTTCAGCTTTGGGTGAAGGGTCTGCTTTGGACACTGGTTCTGCCTTTGGTGATAGTTCTGCCCTGGGCGCTGGCTCTGATTTGGGTGATGGCTCTGCTTTGGGCTCTACTTTGGTCGCTGGTTCTGCTGTCTTGGGCGATGGCTCTGCTGTCTTGGGCTTAGCTGCTGTTGCTGCCACAACCACGGATGTCTGTCTGATCTTTTTCTGGGGTCGCACTGGCGCTGCTGGCTGTGGCGGTGATGGCGTCGCTGATTTTTTCGCGGGTTTGACGGACTCCACGGGCACTGGCGTGGGCTGTGGAGGATTGGGTGTGGGATTTACTATGGCTTGGGGCTTTGGTTTCGGTGCTTTCTGCAAGTGCTTGCTAAGGGAATTCATGTCCATGCCCCAGGATGACCAGGAGGGCTTGGATTTCCGCGACGCTGTCGTAGTTGTGGGCGCCATGAATGTCCTCTTACGCACTTCCTTCACTTGGTTGCCATTCCTGGCCCGCTGCTGTTGCTGGTGGTTATGGTGATGATGATGCTGCTGCTGCACTGCCTCTGTTTTGGCTGCCGCCTCCTCGGCCTGCATCTTTACAATATTCCGCAGATTAAAAGTGGGCTGTACGGGGCCCTTGTACCGCGCCGCATCGTACGCACTCTGCTGCGTCATAATGGCCTTCGAATCAAACACAGCCGCCACCAAAACCAGACAGAAGCTGGCCAGCAGCACCACAAGTGCAGCATTGCGCAGCGATGTCTCCCACACGGGTCGCACCAAATGGACGGCGCACTGCTCCACGCTGTCGGACGGCATTTGGGCGAGCATAAAGTATCCAATGTCGTAGGTGAGATTCGTGATCAGCGTCAGCGTTCGCTTCACGCGCGATGTCGTTAGGTCCGAGCTGAATGCAATCTCTACCTTGCGCGTCTCATTCTCACCTAGATCGAAGCCTGCGCAGTCCATCACCTTGAAGCCGTAGTCCTCGCAGGGCAGCGAACCAATCAGGAATCCCTCGATCCTCATGGGTATGACGCCCGCATTGCGAGCCGTAAAACTCCGGACCGTAACCACAGCCTTGTCGCCGGACTGGCAGTCTGCAAACTGATCCGGCGGCACATCGAAGAGCAGCGGCGTCAGGGAGCCGGGACGACGATTGCCAAAGCGGAACTGGGATTGCACGGCGCGTGCCTGCAGCCAGACAGCCTCGTAGAGCGTCAGATTACTCCTCACATGGAGTAGGGTGCAGTACTTTTCCGGCTGATAGGCGCTGAAGGTGATTGGAATGGTGAGGCTGGATCCACCGGGCAGCAGAATGGGGCCACCGGCCTCGGGCAGCGAGAAGACCTCACGATCGGTCAGATAGCAGCTGGTGGAGCTGACATCGATCACCTCGTGGGGCAGCGAGAGTTGTGTTCGTCTGGCGTAGGCCGGATCCGACAGAAAGTAGTCGAGGAGCAGCGGCTGCTGCGACGGATTCGTCAGCGTTATCCACTGCCGCTGCACCTGACTGATCTCGATGGCCGGCGTCGGGGGTATGGGCTGGAATTGCACCAGTTTTGGCCACTCCACGGCAATGGCAAAGTCCAGCTCCAGCGGCGGCAGCTCGTCGCTGTGCAGCGTCAGGGTGAGGGCCTGCAGCTGCCGCTTGAACTGCCGATAGAGCTCCGTGCGCTGGCGCAGCTCCACGCCATCGTAGAGCAGATTGTTGTTGATGCTGCTGGGCTCTCCGCTAAGTGATCCTCCACCCGGTATGCTGGGGAACACGGCCTGATCGTTAGTGGAGTCACGAATGTAGCACTGACTCTGGCACATGGCCGTCGGCTCAAAGTAGATGCGACCCACCTTGGTGAGCGTCTGGGCAGCGATGGTTGTGCCCTTGGCATTGAAGTCCTTGAAGCGTAGACCCGGCTTGGCGAAGCTGATGCTCTTCACGTGCACGGGATGCGTGAAGCTGGAGCGGATGCTCAGCACAGCGGTGCAGATCTTGCCGGGGAAGCAGTTCTTGAAGCTCAGCTGCTCTTGGTCGATGTCCAGCTGTCCCATGGAGGCCTTGAACTTGACGGGCACCCGCACCACCTCGTAGGGTGTCCACACCTTGAGGGTGCCCTCGGCGGGACCATCGATGTAGGTCTTGACGGCCACCTGGAAGACGGCGCTGTCGCCCTGGCCCAAGTACCGGCAGATGTGCAGCCGCGTGGCCTCGTTCAAGTCATCCTGCGAGTTCTCAATGTCCTCCGCGAGCAGGCAGCCAAAGAAGGAGCTGGTCGAGTAGACGGTTTTGGGCTCCTTGAAGAACCAATTTGTGATCTTAATGGGCATGGGATTGTCGTTGCGCAGGATGACATAGCCATCGCGCGACATCTGGGCATATGGCACAGTGCCCAGATCCAGCTCCAGGCTGGGCACTTCCGGCTGCAGCTCTCGCTCGCGCTTCTTCTGTGGTATCCGCAACACAAATGGCTGCGCGGAGACGTGCAGACGGCCGCTGCACGAGACCACTGGCATCTCGAAGGTGGTGACATTCGTGTCGATCCGTAGGGAGGACTTGAACATCACCTCATCGTTGAGCAGATTGAGCTTTAGCAGCTCCACAGAGTCGCCTGGCTGCAGCAGCACTTGCAGCGCATCACCCATCATGGTCACCTCCAGCAGCGACTCGTCTATCGGCTCGCTCAGGCTCACATTGTAGAGGATGAGGGGCATGGCAAAGTTGTTGCGCACCACCAGCGAGCGTTTCCGCTCCAGCGGTGAGGCTGCCTCCGAGCCATCGGCGGTGGAGCCGCCGGTTAGAAATTTGGTGACATTCCCATCGAAGGAGAGGCCGCCCTTGAAGATCTCTGCTCGGACCAGAACCGTGAAAGGTTGCACTGGGTCCGGGCTGGAGCTGGAGCTCTTGCTGCTGATCACCAGCAGGTCGTTGATCGTTTCGCTGCTCTCGAACAGCTTGGGATCGAGCACGATGCTCGTGCTGTTGGGATCGAAGAAGAGGCCCGGAATATTCCGCAGATAGCTGCCGAAAAGCTCGCTGCTGTGCTCGTTGTGGTCGTGCATGTCCAGCTTGAACTCCATGGCCTCCGCATTGTGGGTGGCCACGCGACCAAAGTCCGCCAGCGGGTTGCGTGCGTAGGGTGTGTGCTTGGGCAGGATCTCGAACTCCACGGGTATCACCAGTATGCTCTCCTCGAGCTCCTCCAGTTCGGATATCTTGATGCGTATGTAGGCGCTGTGGTTGCCGGCGGTGCGGCCATGGAAGGAGATCCTTATGACTGGCTTCAGCGTGTGCGGCGGTATCTCCCAGAGATTCTGTGGTCCCTCGGAGCCACCGCTGGGCAGCTCCAACTGGAACTCCCCGCCACTGCTGTAAATCTGTGTCATAGATACGGGTTAGTGGCTATTTCTTGTGGACTGTGTGTAGCACTTACCTCGAGTATCTGCAGCGGACGCTCGTGCGGATTGTACATGTGAATCTCTGGAGTAAGCGTTGCATTGATGGGCGCCTTAATGCCCACCAGCGGCTTGAGGCGATACGGACACTCGCTACCCTCGCCGCGCACCGTCATCTCCGCACGACCGAAGGAGGTGTGTATGAGAAGATCCGTTGATATGGCACCCAGCTGACGCGGAAGAAAGACCACACTGAATGTCGTGTTGCCCAGCGGCGGCACCTCGCGCGTTCCAAAGAAACTGCTGTAGAAGGCCGGACTCGGACCCACCACAGAGTTCAGTTGGAGCGTGCGATTCGTGTGCTGGTTGAACAGCGTCACTTGCTTCGTGCGCGCCTGCCCCACAGACCATGTTCCAAAGTCAAGGTGGGGCGGCACGATCCGCAGGTCGCCCAGCATTTCGCTGTGGTCACGCGTGTGCGGCTCCGGGAGACTGATAAAGCTCTCCTGCAGGCCCTCCAGCACTTTTTCACTGCTGGGCTCCAGCTGCATTTGCATTTGCTGGTTGTTGCCACTGACTCGGGCGCCGAGCAGCACGAACAGAGCTGGTATCAGCCTCAGGACGAGCCGCAGCGGTAAATATGTGTACATCGTGTGTGGGTTTGGTTGCAGTTGCGCTGCCCTAGCTTTTCCAGTTCCTGTCCAGCGTTTTTTCGGTCGTGGTTTCCTCTGCGTTGGGCTTTATTTATATTATTCAATATCGTCTCGTCGCTATTATCCTATTTTCTGGACTCGTATTATCAGCTGTGTCTGTGGTTAGCGATGGCAGCGCAGCATGCCGATAAGCGATACTATCGCATAGCTATACACAATTGCATTCTCATGCACATGGAAATATTTTCAGTTAGTTTCATATGGGAGTTATACAGCAAGATGTTGGTTAGTTTGTATGAAGGGCAATCTCATGGCGTGGTGCATATCTAGAATTGCAACAATCAGCTGAATTGAGAACCAGTTAGTAGTATACTTTTCGGCTGCGAAAAATGTGCGAAAACAGAGCGTGTCCCCCTCTCTAAATCAAACAACATGCTACCTTCTTTTAGTATCGATAGCGTATATCGGTTCCCTGTGACTCCACCTCATTGCAGTAACATGTACATAAATTAGAGGGTTCAGTTGTTGGATTTTTCTGTACATATCAAAAATATATATGCATACCTATATTTTAAATCAACCATAGTTTATTAGCTCACACCTGAATATAATATTATTATTTTCAAAATAAAACGCCGATAGCTTTCGCTTATTGCACCAAAATATTGATATTTTTTAAAACTAGACTGCGCATCGATATTGCATGCAAGACACTTAAACATCTCACATATCTAAAATTCGAGCGGGAAAGCCATCCAGAGAGAGAGATGGAGAATATTAGGAATATGTTAGAAAGGTTAAAAACATGTCAGTCTAAGATATTGCCATTATTAATGTTTGAGAGCAGCTTTGAAAATAAAATTTTAATATTAATTTATGGAAATAGGGTATACAAATGCCTATACTATATTATACCTACCTGTTGACAAGCAACAAATTGTCAAATGACGTTGCTCTCCGTTCCCAGTCACGTTACGTTTTTATGCTATTTTTGTTCGTTGACATTTTTAGATTTAATCTTAATTTGGAAACATTCCAACAAAAATAAGTCGTGAAAACTAGCCAGTCTTGTGGAGAATTGATTGATAAATCGGATAAAACTATTGTTTTAGCGCGGACACTCCCAACTAGCTACTAATATTAAATAGAACATACAGATCGAGAAAAATGATTTTAGATTTACGGAATATTTACAGTATATTTTGAAAATGCAAGGGTATATTTCGGTATATTTCCGAGGGTGTCGGTAATAATTCCGCGGTCACACTACTCAAAACAAACACAAAAAAAAAAGAAAGTTTGCAAAAAATTGGTTTACGTGTAAATTATAAGCTAATATACGCAAAGTTGCTATAACTAAAGTGAGTGTTCCCCAACATAATAGCACAGGACTGCTAAATCGGCAGTTAATAACGCACTGCAAGTGCTATTTTAAAGTAAAACATGGGTAACCAAGTGACGTAGATCGTTCGGCTTTGGTACTCGCAAATGTACACATACTCGGGCGGGCAAGCACATTAAATCTTGCAGAAATGTGTGTGCATATCTGTTTTTGCTTTAGAATTGTATTCCCAAACACTAAAATGAGCAATTGCAATGTTAGATACATGTGAAGCTGGCCTCATGGCCTGTGATGCAACTGGCGTTGTATTGATTTTGCCCACTTTCACCGCTTACAAAATGCGGTGGGTTGCCAATAATGCCAGTTTCGGTTTCACACAAAAACCGCCACAGATTTCCATACGCGTCAGAAATAGGAACGCACCGCTGCGCAGTGAACTTCGTTACCCGATGTAAATTAGACAGCGGTCTCTATGTACGCTGATACAATGTATACATATAATATACCTTCTGTACATATAGCAAAGTCATTACCTGTGGAAAGAGGATGGGAAGGGCAGGGCGCCAATGTCAGTGGCTGCTTAAAATGTGTGTGCTTTTCAAATTAGATTCAAAACTACGCCAGCCAGCCACTAGTATGCACCGTTTCCCCCACACTCATCATTTAGTTTGTAAGACATTTTTGGAGAAAGTTCAACTGGCAGCTGGATGCCCTTAGCCAAAAACCAATTCGATAACCGGTTCAACCCAACCCAACCACTTGTTTGACAACCCCACTGGAAGACGATGGACCAATGTCCAGATAGTGCATATGGCTTCCCGCCTGAAGAGAGGTCATTCTTGGGAATAACGGTGCTTATTGTCGCGTCGCTCTCCAGTCTCCCAATCATCATCCAGAGAGTGAAAACAGAATTTTCAAAATTTCATAGCAACCGCTCGCTCGGTAGTTCGCGCTCGGCGCTTAAATCGTCGCACGAAGGCGCTGACGAGGCGTCCGCTGACACTGCCCTGTTGCTTAGGCTTTTGTTTCCCTTTCATGGCTGGTGCTTGCGCATATTTGATTTCAGTTTACTTCCAAACTCGACAGCGTGCAGGTTGACAAACGACACACACAGGTTCCAAGTGGTTCCAGAAAAAAAAACCCGGACAACGGACACCAACAACGACACCAACACTCGCACCAACACTGTCAGAAATACCTATTGCACTTGCACGCACACACACGGACAGCCCCGTCTCTAATCAATTCTAAGTTAATACTTGTAAAATCAAAGTTTGAAAGTACAGAAAAAAGTCAAACGGTACGGCACGACATGATCCCGGACATCGGGTCCCTCTATATTTGCCATTGAATTGGCACACCAATCCGATACAATCCAATAATGCTAATGCTACTCCCCTCTTTGTCTGTTTCTCTTTCTATAATTTACAGCATCTGGGATGTCGGCGAAAGCAATCACTGAAGCCACGGGCAAGGATATCCTGAACCGTCACCTTAATGCCCATGGCGCAGGCGCGGCCACTTGCCGTTTTGCCACAGTCAATGCCGACACAGACTGGTCCAAGTTGAGTGTCGATCATCCCTGGTTGCTGACCACGGTGAGTGCCACTTAAAAATAGCCTGCCGGATCCCTAATCAGCAATAGCAGCAGCAACCGATAATTAGGCCAGCGTCGGCCACAAACATTCGACATTGTCATTGAACTTGACCCCAAACAGAGGGACGGGGAGAACGGGGACTCTCTGCACGCCTTCCCTGGATGACTAAGCCTCCTCCTGATAAGCAGCATGGTTCGAGCGCCAGGCAGCCGAGTGGTTCCAATCAAATAGCAGAGTGGCAGCGCGGCATTTTTGTGCGTGGTGTTTGTTTATCGCGGCGTGCCATAGCTATAGATGTAGCTTTATGGCTATAGGTCGTGTGGCGTGGTCTTCCAGTAGTTGTCCTCACCTGAGTGCACGATTAGCGTGAGTGGCTAGGCTACTCCTCCACACAATAGAATTACTCAATCAAGTGGATTGGGAACGGAAATTCACTCGCGTTTTATCGGTCATTGGAAGCGAGAAATCTTAAATCTGTGATTTTGCACCCAAAATGTCGCGTGTTTTGTTTTGTTTTTCCGATGACAATTTGCCGCGATTTTTGTCCAGCTAAAAGTAACGAACGTAAACACTTTTTCTTTTTTAAACGAATGAAAGTTCTTTCAAGATATGAACATTTAATTACGCGAAAAAGTTTTATCGCCTGACGACTCGGATGACTTTTTGTTCAATTTACACTCGTACGATCTTCTAAAAAGCATCTCCGACCTGTGTGTGTGTGTGTATTGTCATTGTCAATGACGAGGCGATGGCTGGCCTGACCCTTGGGGACGCTCGCGCGCTATCGCCTGATCTTGCTCCACACACACACACACACACACACACACACACAATGATACATTTACAGCTACATCTACAACTGCTTGAGAAAACCGGCTGGCTTGGCGCTCCTCTCCTCTCCTCTCTGCTCTGGCTTGACTGTCCCCTGTTTAAGTTCAATGATTTTTGTTATTATTAGCTGCACTCGTACCTTATAAACAATTTAATTAACATTTCGATATTGTGGAATGATTTCGTTTGTTGCAGCCGCTGGTGGTCAAGCCCGATCAATTGATTAAGCGTCGCGGCAAGCTGGGACTGATTGGCGTGAAGAAAAGCTTTGAGCAGGTGAAACAATGGATTGGCGAGCGCATCAACAAGGATCAGAAGATTGGCAATGCTGTGGGCAAGCTGCGCAACTTCATAATCGAACCGTTTTTGCCACACACCGATGTGAGTTCAGACTCCCTTCTACACAACTATTCAATCTCCACTAACCTAACTTTCGGCTTATTCTACCCAGGCCGAGGAAATGTACGTTTGCATCTACTCTCATCGATCGGCGGACACGATTCTGTTCTATCATCAGGGTGGCGTGGATATTGGCGATGTGGATGCCAAGGCCGTGAAGCTGGATGTCCCTGTGAACAGTGAACTCTCGCTGGCCGATGTCAAGAGCAAGCTGCTCAAGGAGGTCAAGGATGCGGCCCAGAAGGAGCGCATTGCCAAATTCATTGTCGCCTTGTATGCAACATTCGTGGACTTGTATTTCACATATCTGGAGATCAATCCCCTGGTGGTAACGGCTGACAATCTGTATATATTGGATCTGGCCGCCAAGCTGGACTCGACGGCCGACTTCATTTGCCGTCCCAAGTGGGGAGAGATCGATTACCCGCCACCATTTGGCCGCGATGCCTATCCCGAGGAGGCGTACATCGCCGACTTGGACGCCAAGAGTGGTGCCTCGCTCAAGCTCACGATTCTCAATCGAAATGGTCGCATCTGGACAATGGTGGCAGGCGGCGGTGCTAGCGTCATCTATTCGGACACAATCTGTGATCTTGGTGGGGCCTCAGAGCTGGCAAACTATGGCGAGTACAGCGGTGCACCCTCCGAGCAGCAGACGTACGAGTACGCCAAAACCATACTAAACCTGATGACCTCCTCGCCCAAGCATCCCGATGGCAAGGTGCTGATAACCGGCGGTGGCATTGCCAACTTCACAAACGTTGCCGCGACCTTCCAAGGTGATTTATACCTTCTATAAGCCATATATATATATTCATATTATCTTATCAGCCATCGATCAACAATGTTCTAAATCGTTTCTCACTACCAGGCATCATCACGGCGCTGCGCGAGTTCCAGCCCAAGCTGGTCGAGCACAATGTCTCGATCTTTGTGCGTCGAGCTGGACCCAACTATCAGGAGGGTCTGCGCCGTATGCGTGACTTTGGCGGCACCTTGGGCATACCGCTGCACGTGTTTGGACCCGAGACACACATGACTTCCATTTGCGGCATGGCGCTGGGCAAGCGGCCCATACCGAAGGTGGCCAGTGTAGAGTTTTCCACGGCCAACTTTTTGCTCCCAGGCGGTCAGCAGGCTCAAGCCGATCTCAAGGCAGCCAGCGATGCCAGCAGCAGCGATGCCCTGGGCTCCGGTAAGTGGAATGGAATGGCAGCTGAATCTGATTCTGTTTTGTGGTGTATGTGTCCCCGCCCGGGTAAACCCAAAGGAGATCACTAATCCATTCTTGCAGTAATCGTAGGATAAATATTTAATCATTTGCATCCTTGCCCGTGGCATCGATTGCATTGATTGTCCTGCACTGAATCGTTTGATCTGATCTCTGATCTTTCTTTCTCTCTTTTTATTCTCTCTGTATTTTGTATGTATTTGCATTGATCGCCCTCGCTCTCGCCCTCGACAACCGACAACCCCATCAAAATCGAAAAAAAAACCAAAAAAAAAAACCACATTAAAATTTGAATGCTCGTTTGGCCCACCTCGAAACTGCACCACGAAAAAACCAAAATACCCTCACATATATCGTATATATCGTACCCGTGTTTGTATATCGTATTTGTATCGTATTTGTTTATGTACTTTGTATATGTTCTTTGTGTATTCTTGTATCCTGGTTTGATCTCGCTCTACTCGCTCTCTACTCCACCTACTCCATCATCATTTTTAATCGACTAATCGACCACGACCTCGACTCGACTTCATTCTGGGATCAAAACTCAAAAAGCCCTGAGCTCGACTGCAGCTAAATCGATTAAACTACCACCTATCTCAGCAGATGAGGCGGACAATGGCAGCAGTGCCAGTGGCCAGCATCGTAATGGCTCGAGCCTGACACGCAAGTTCTTCTCCAACACCACCAAGGCGATTGTTTGGGGCATGCAGCAGCGTGCCGTGCAATCGATGCTTGACTTTGATTTTATCTGCAGGCAAGCAATTGAACTATTCTGTAACCCAAATGAAACTTTCCAACTCATAATCTCTCTCTTTCTCTTTCTGCAGGCGCGATGAACCCTCTGTGGTGGCCATGGTATATCCATTTACTGGCGATCACAAGCAGAAATACTACTGGGGCCACAAGGAGATTCTCATTCCTGTTTATAAGAAGATGTCCGATGCCATCCACAAGAATAAGGAGGTCGATGTCTTGGTTAACTTTGCCTCGTTGCGCAGTGCTTACGAGTCGACGCTGGAGGTGCTGGAGTTCCCACAGATACGCACCGTGGCCATCATTGCCGAGGGCATACCCGAGAACATGACACGCAAGCTGATCTTCGAGGCCGACAAGAAGGGTGTGGCCATCATTGGACCCGCCACAGTGGGCGGCGTCAAGCCGGGTTGCTTCAAGATCGGCAACACTGGCGGCATGCTGGACAACATTCTACACTCGAAACTCTACCGTCCGGGCAGTGTGGCCTACGTCTCTCGCTCCGGCGGCATGTCCAACGAGCTGAATAACATCATATCGAAGGCCACCGATGGCGTGATCGAGGGCATTGCCATTGGCGGCGATCGGTATCCGGGATCCACGTTCATGGATCACATTCTGCGCTACCAGGCCGATCCGGAGACCAAGCTGATTGTGCTCTTGGGCGAGGTGGGCGGCACGGAGGAGTACGAAGTGTGCGCCGCTCTGCAGGATGGACGCATCACCAAGCCACTGGTGGCCTGGTGCATCGGCACCTGTGCCAGCATGTTTACCTCTGAGGTGCAGTTCGGACACGCCGGCTCCTGCGCCAATTCGGACCGTGAAACGGCCACAGCCAAGAACAAGGCGCTGCGCGAGGCGCGTGCCTATGTCCCCGACTCGTTCGACACTCTCGGCGAGCTCATCCATCACGTGTACAGTGAGCTGGTGAAGACGGGCCGTGTGGTGCCCAAGGAGGAGGTGCCGCCACCGACCGTGCCCATGGACTACTCGTGGGCCCGCGAACTGGGTCTCATCCGCAAGCCAGCCTCGTTCATGACCTCGATTTGCGATGAGCGTGGCCAGGAGCTGATCTACGCGGGCATGCCCATCTCGGAGGTGCTCAGCAAGGAGGTGGGCATCGGCGGTGTCATCTCGCTGCTCTGGTTCCAGCGCTGTCTGCCCTCGTACGTGTGCAAGTTCTTTGAGATGTGCCTGATGGTGACGGCCGATCATGGGCCCGCTGTCTCTGGCGCTCACAACACCATCGTCTGTGCCCGTGCCGGCAAGGATCTGGTATCTTCCGTAGTCAGTGGCCTGCTGACAATTGTAAGTGCAGTGAAGGTCGTTTTATTAGCTGGAAGATGACTCATTTCTGATGTTAATTTGCAGGGCGATCGCTTTGGTGGTGCTCTGGATGGCTCGGCCAGACAGTTCTCCGAGGCCTACGATACCAACTTGCATCCCATGGAGTTTGTGAACAAGATGCGCAAGGAGGGTAAACTGATATTGGGCATTGGGCATCGCGTCAAGTCGATTAACAATCCCGATGTGCGTGTAAAAATCATCAAGGAGTTTGTACTCGAGAGCTTTCCAGCGTGCCCGCTGCTCAGATACGCCCTGGAGGTGGAGAAGATCACCACCAACAAGAAGCCCAATTTGATTTTGAATGTAGATGGTGTGATAGCCACTGCTTTCGTTGACATGCTGCGCAACAGTGGATCGTTCACAAGGTACGAGTTATAACCTATGTGGAAATGTTTTATTTATTAACTTTTACTCTGAATTCCCAGTGAGGAGGCGCAGGAGTACATCAATGTGGGTGCCATCAACTCGCTGTTTGTGCTGGGCCGAAGCATAGGCTTCATTGGACATTATATGGATCAGAAGCGTCTCAAGCAGGGTCTCTATCGCCATCCATGGGATGACATCTCCTATGTCATTCCCGAGCAGTACAACTAAGCACATACACGCGTAGCGGAGGAGCAAGCCCTGATGTTATATATTTATATACACCCCCACACACATATAGATATATACAAAGCATATATATATATATGTATATTAATCGGAAGTTGTTGTAGTTAAGCACAGATGTACGAAGTTAAGCAAAGAACGGAGGAGTTGGCCACAAAACACACACTCAAAAAACACACCCACAACACACACTCCAGTAGCTGTTTATCTCCGCGCAGAACAATCTCTTATAAATTCGCTCGTGTCACTCCTTTGCCCCTTTCTCTTCCCACTAACGTCTGCATTTAAAGTTTCTCTTAAGATATCAGACATTTAGCCCATGTTGTTTTCTGTAATCTGTCATTGATGCGTGCGTGTGTGTCTCGAAGCACCAGCCTGGGGGCGGGGCAAACAACATCACAACCTAACATAATATTATTTGATACTTCTTTTATACCTTACCTTACCTTAGTTTGGATGCACACAACAAGAGAATAAATTGTTGCAAGAAGCTCGAACTCCCTTTTATTTTTGGCACTTATTTTAAACATTATCCGCCCACTCCATACTCCTCCCGTGCTAATGAACGTGGACGTGGACATGCACTAGTTCCTGCTGCACTCAAGCACACATTTATTTATAAACAATATATCGTAATGTAAATGTATTTACAATGCACACACCACGACAGGATGAACGTTCGCAGAACAAATTAATTAATTATATTTAGTAGTAGTCTGTGGGCCATTTCCTACAGAGGTGGTTAATGCGTTGTTGCGTTCTATAAAGCTGTTGTTCTGGTTTGTTCACTCGGATAAAATTTTCACCAAATAATTAAATCGCACAAATGCTTCACGTAGCTGAAATAGCGGGGATTGTCTCTTGTCTTTTGCTGAACATTTTTGGATCATTTGGAAACGATCACACACGCACACACACATCTACATGGTCCTAGGCAATATCTAAGCGTAAAATCTCATTTAAACATATTTAAGCCGGCCCCAGAGGACACCTCAACCGATAGTGAACTGAAAGTTATGCTGCTGTCTCCTATCTCATGCGACGCATCTTCCGCTCCATTTTCTTTTGCTTTTTCTCGTCCAGCTCGGGCTCCTCTTGGGCGTTGCGCTGGGCAAGCCATGGCTTTATGAAGGAGCCCCAGAGCATCCAGCCTGCTCGTATGGGGGCCAGCAGCAGCACCAGCCAGAAGTAGTTCGAGATGAGAGCCATCAGTAACGTGCCAGACGTAAGGATAATCAGATCCTTGACATTTCTGCAAGCAAAGCAGGCCGGGTTGAAGATTAGCAAATCGGGAAACAGATACAAGTGCATGTACTCACTCCGCTATGCCGCCCTCCATGTTCAGATCGTTGCCTGAGTCAACTAGAGCACCGGTGTCAGAGTATTTTGCTTGCGACATGAACGCCATGAACTGGTACGCACCTCCAAGAATCGCCAACGAAAGAATGTACATGAACTGCGGAGAAAGCAAATTAGCAAATGGTAGTCACACTTAGCCACTGTACCGACTTACAATTGTGACTTTGGTGAACTCGAAGACTAGAAAGCTCAATAGGAGAGCAGGTGCAGCGCAGCCAATGGCCATGTTCCGATAAAATGCTAATGTGGTCTTGTTTTCTTCGACGATTTGCTTCGCACCTTTCGTGCCCTGTTTTCCCTTCTGCGTTGGCTGTGTAAGAGAAATGGTTTAGTGGGCGATTCTCAGCGAGTATAATTTACTTACAGCCATATTTAGTTTAATAATTATGTATTAACTATAGTGCTATTTCAAAATTTCGAAACTTTTACGTGGCGACACACTCCAATGAAACGGCCTAGTGTTGCAAAACACATCGCATAATCAGCAGTGCTGTAAAGGGCAAATACCGTTCAACTGCTTCTTCTTACGCTGCTTCTTTGTACCTTGACCGTTCGGATCGACTGGACTTTATTTTGGTCATAACATGAATATGGACAAGTGGGTGCAGTTGAATAACCAGGTTGCTGGCCGGGATAAACTAGCGAGGTGAGTTTACTTAGCGTTGGCATAGATGTAATGTAACCTTTATTTAAACCCCACACAACAGACTAATCCAATATGCGTCGCGAGCATTGTGGGACTCCCTGGAGGCGGCCAACTCCAGTCCGGCGTTGGTGGACAACTTCAAGACAGTGGAATACATCCTGAGCACATTCCGAAAGCGTGAGTTTTATTCAAACCGTTTCCATTGCACAGCTAAAACATGCTAATCCTCAGTGCTTCGTTTTGGAAAATGTTTGGATGTGTTCTATGGAACACTGCGCACAATACACTATCCGGACCTCACCATTCGGGTAACCCTGACCCTTGGAAAGCTGTCGCAGTCGCTGTTCCTGGTCGCTGACCATTTCCTGTGGCTGGCGAGGACGGGTCTAACAACAGTGGATGCAAAGCGTTGGTCCAGTCTTGCCAACAAGTATTGGCTCTTCTCGATCATCATGAACCTGTGCCGGGACTTTTATGAGATAGTGCGAGTCCTGGACCTTCACAAGTCCGGCTGCAGGAGCGGCATAACACGCTGCAGATTGCCAACCAGCATTAAGAGCCCGCAGGATTTCAAAGACCTGGCCCTGCAGTCGTATGTCATGATGCAGGGACACAAGGACATTGTAGTGGACACAGTGAAGAATATGTGTGACTTCTTCATCCCCCTGACGGCCCTGGGCTACACTAGTATGACCCCACGGACGATCGGCCTGCTTGGAGCAATTTCATCGCTGGCCGGCCTCTGGGCACTGCTTGAACCGAAGGCCAAGCTGACGCCTGCCTAGTACTGAATGACCTAATACTTTAATTTCTGTATATTTTAACTTGTGTCTCAACTTCATTCCCCCATTATCTGTAAAGATACGTTAACGGTTGTATTTGTGCCTGCAAATTGGATTAAGTTTGAAAGATATGATATGATATGAATTTTATGAACCACCCTAATGCTGTTGTTGTTTGTGTTCGCGGTCGCGTGCCTGGGCGAATGGAGCGGCCAGCTGATTTGTCGTCGCCACGCTGTGAGTGCCACTTTTCTTAGTTTTTATTTGGTTTTTCTTTATCTACTCGGTCGAAATTTGTTGTTAATAGCCAATGGTCTGCCGTCGCGCCATGTTATCTGGGAACTGGTGAAACCGATGTGTCATTTGCGCGCCGTATCCAAAAACCATGAACAACTATTCTTATTCCGCCCTGGCCAGTGTGGACCACCACAATCGGTGCTGCGGTAATCGCGCCTGGTGCGTGAAGGACATCTGCGGCATTGTCTGTGTCATCATGACTTGGCTACTCATCCTCTTTGCCGAATTTGTGGTCATGCGCCTCATTCTCATGCCCAGCGACTACACGGTTTTCAGCACCATTAATATGATAATATTCCAAGCGCTGGCGTTCCTCGCATTCGCCTCTCACATACGCACCATGCTCTCGGATCCGGTAAGTAGTCATCAACTGAAGCATTCCGCTTGCACCTCATCATGTACTGTGTCAACTTTGCAGGGCGCTGTGCCGAGGGGCAATGCCACCAAGGAAATGATTGAGCAGATGGGCTATCGAGAGGGTCAAATGTTCTACAAGTGCCCCAAGTGCTGTAGCATTAAGCCCGAGCGTGCCCATCATTGCTCCGTGTGCCAGCGATGTATTCGCAAAATGGATCACCATTGTCCTTGGGTCAACAATTGCGTGGGCGAAAACAATCAAAAGTACTTTGTACTCTTCACCGTAAGCGAATGCGGAACTTTTTCCGGCCACCACGCGAACGCTCACTCTTACTCTCACTCACACGCTGTATCTCCCTCTCTGCAGTTCTACATTGCCTCGATATCGCTGCATACGCTCTTTCTGGTGCTCACGCAGTTTGCAGAGTGCGTGAAAAACGATTGGCACACATGCTCACCGTACTCACCGCCGGCCACAATATTCCTGCTGCTCTTTCTCACGTTCGAGGGCCTGATGTTTGGCATATTCACAATCATAATGCTGGCCACTCAGCTGACGGCCATATTCAACGATCAGACGGTGAGTGAATACCAATTTATTGTGAGAACTCATCTGATTTGTTTTCTTATTTTGCAGGGCATTGAACAACTGAAGAAGGAGGAGGCTCGCTGGGCTAAGAAGTCGCGCCTCAAGAGCATTCAGTCGGTTTTTGGGCGGTTTTCGCTTGCGTGGTTTTCGCCATTTACGGAGCCCTCCTGTCGTACCAAATTCCATACCCATTTCTATTCGGTCTGAGGCAGGATCCCCCTCCGGACAATCCCGACAATGGGCTAGCTTTATCGAACAACTAAACGTACAAGGAGGCAACAAGTAGCCGCCGCCACTTGTTGAAGTCGCTTCGTGCAATTTTTATATTTTTCCATTAATTAACCTCCTATTCCCCCTTTAAGTACTTTTGATCGATCAATCGATGTGTGTCTTAGCTTAAGCGAACTGATTGCCTTAGCGCCTGGTCGAGTGCAGCATCTATTGTACTTACTATACACCTGAGAAAGAACACGGAGAGCATTACTCTAAGAAATGTATTTATTTTATACCTAATCGGAGACCAGACCATCTCTACGTCTGTATGTGTAAGTGTAACGTCTGTGTGTGTGTCTGTTTGTGTGCTGCACAATCGGAAATAAAAGTTTGAAAAAACATGCGCAAATCTTTGCTCATCCTCGGGAGAGGTCTCTCTGGGTCTCTGTGTCTCTCTCTCCGTCAGCGAGGTGTATGTTTTCTGCTAGTGCCATGGACTGCCGACGATCTGTTGTCTGCTCTGTTCAGTCTGAGGAAAACGATCGGAGATCCAGGAGGTGTCTGCTGGACGTGGTGCGCGCCCTCGACGTTGAACGCCGTGTTGTATATATTATTTATATATAGAAAGAAAAGAAATGAAATGAACATTTCTGTGTTCACAAATGTGTCAATTTCTGTGAGTGTGTGTCTGGCCTGGTCTGTTGGAAATTCAAAGAAGAAAACGCAGCCATTTGCAATGCAATGCCAGAAAAGGCATCCGAATCTAAATAGATCCTAGTTCTATATCAACCAAAATATATATATATATTTTTTTAAGCAAAATACGAGTAATTACCCATCGAAAAAGTGAAAAATTTCAATTATTATCCGTGTTCATTCACTTCGTCGGTGTGTGCGCGTCGAGAGTTCTAAATATAAATATATAGGAAATTCGCCTGTCGGCGGCTAAAGCCGCATTTAAAAATATTTAAACATTTTCGGTATATAGCGCGGCCTAATCCTACAGCGAAAGTCGTCCTGAAAGTGTGTATCCCGTACTCGTACCCCTATCCCTAACCGGCGCCGCTATCCGCTTGGTGGCCCTGTTTTTGGCTAATTATATAGCGAGACCTGAACATGGAAACATCGCCAGCAGCATCCGCCGCTGAAGAGGCTGCGGTCGTAGTAGGTAAGGCCCCAGACACCGGGAAATTGAACGATTTCTCCTTTTTTTTGTCTCCCCCCTCCGCCGTTGTGTTCTGGCTCCCTTGCCCGTGCCCGGCCCATTCCCGAGCAGACAATGGGAATTCTTGAGTATTTATGTGTATTTTTATGGCATGCCACGGGCTCCGCCTTTGTCCGTAGTATCCGTGTCTGCTAGTCTTCTGGTAGCAGCCCCAGTACGCGAGTTACGTAATTGTGAAATGTGTATGAGAAATTTTCATAATTGTACGTTGGAAAATGCGCTGCTACTGCTGCTGCTGCTGCGGCTGCTGGCCATTCTGACCGAGTGTCATTCGTAGCCAAGATCGAGATGTTCCTTAATATTTCAATGGTATTTAGGAATCACATTTGATTATGCTTTCTCAGGCGGAACGGAAAGGAAAGGAAAGGAAAGATTCGACATGCTCGAGAATAGTTCTTGTCTTGCGTGTATGAATAATATTTGAAACTATTTTTAGTGCCAATTCTGAATACTCGATGTATTCCGAGGGTAAGCGGTCAATATCTAATACATTGAAAGGTGACAACCTCAGATGTACCGAGCTTAGACAGGGAACTTCACAGAGGCTGTTCCCGTAGAATTTAAAGGAAAAGTTTCACATTTTAGGGTATCTCTCAGTCGTTTCTGGTAGCTTACAATGCCTTGTTGCCGGCATACAATTTATGTTCTGCTCTTTGGGAGGGGAATCTTTGACATTTCTGCAAATATTTAGTTTATAATTTATGTTTTGTGAAACTTCCTGAGACACCGCAACATACACACCGATTAGTCATGGCATGCGCGCATAATTGATGCTCTCCATTCTCTTTGATAGAACCTCCTGGCCAGCAACAAGCTGTAGTCCAGGGCAGACCACCACCCCGCATCACGTTCAGCGATAATTCCAGCTCTTTGATCCGCTGCATACCTAACGAACGGGCTACATTCTTTGTGAAAATCGACTGCGATGAGGATGAGGAGTCCGAATTGTTGCCCTTCAAATTCGAATGGTAAGTCATTCCACTTATAAATCTAGCTGTTCTGCTTGTCTACCTGTGCACTTGCCGTTGGTGATTCACTCAGACCTTGCCCGTATCCCGTCATAGTGTGTGCCTGGTCTGCATAATGCCAGAATTGTGCGCATTAACATATGATTTCTCCTTCAAACGCTCTATTGAGCAGAGACCCAGAGAGAGATACAGAGATTGAGCAGCGTTCCACCGGCGACTGCGCCACGAGCGCTAGTGCTGTGCCTCTCCTATGGTACCATTGCTCAACGTTCTCTAGGGGTCTATGGGGTATGGCGTGTCTCTGGCCCACCGAAATGAGCGGACAGTTCCACTTTGACGATCGGCGCACTAACATATCCGTTGCCCATCCGGCTATCCGCAGCATCAGCATTCCTGTTCGGCCATACGAAAGTTCTATATATATACCCACACACAAAGAGATCGAACGTATACGTTGTGTAGTGCGTAAATCTGGGGGTAAACGTGGCGTATGCTTAATAAATCACATCTACAACGAAATCAATCAAATTAGTGAGAATTCCTGTGACAGGAGACAGTTCCTAGAAGCAACAGTACCTGCAGTACTGGTACCTGTCCCATATTCTGCGTTTGTCCGGTCAGAATACTAAAGCGATCGTCTAAATATAGCTGCATTAACAAATCGCATCGGCCCGCGACGCGTCGCATTGCCTCTCCTCTCCCGTCGCCGCCGTCGTCCGTGATTTTTCGGGTTGCGCCAGTGTAATTGTCTCGGGTATTGAACGGAATTCGGTGAATTCTGGTGTGGCGTGCGTCAAAACGTTTCAATTTTATGCCCTAAAAGTGTTGAAATAAGTTTTTCAAACGAAACTGAAAATTACATAATTGACTTGGCTGTGAAAACAAAGAGAGACAGAGAGAGTCGGTCAGATGTTTAGCAATATACGCGAGAGCATAAATAAATAAATGTGTAGTCTAGGGGTGTGCTGGGCCCCCCAAAACAGACAGAAACACAAACAAAAGAAACAAGAAACAATTTGAATGAAAATTCTCGATCTCGGTGATTTTGTGCATGAAAAACAAACAGCGAAAACACACACAAACCTCAGAGAAACGACAGCAAAACAACAAGTTATTAGCGTTCAACATGAAATACGCATCCCGAAATAAGTTTGGCACCAAGCCGCACCGACCCAACGCTTTTGTTTCGCTGTTTGCCGTCTAGCTAGCGTTTAAATTATTGCGGTCCGAGTCTGAGCGGTGGGAAATGCGAAAGAAATAAATACAATTAATACTCTCACCGCCGCAGGTTCGAGCATTTATTTATAAACATTCTTCTTTCGGTTCAAAGATATTTTAGTCATCTTTCACTTCCATTGTTTTGTTTTATGAGGTTCTGTTTTATTGGGCAATAATCCTGCCAAAATAAACAAATGACGTTTACCCATCCAACTAATAGAGACGCGGGCACGTGTTTTATACTCTTGGGGGTGATACAGATGGATTGAAAGCGATTTTGAACATTTAAATAATTAAGTCATTTATTTATGTTTGATAGTAGAATCCGCTTTAGCAGGATTTTTGTGGTTTTGTGGGGTCTTCCTCTATTCTATTAATTTCAAACTAAAATCTAAGCATCTGATCAGACAACTGTCGTGGTTACGTGCGGGAACTGCAAGAGTATTTAAGGCATTCTTTCATGTCTTAAAATTAGACGAAATCAATCAATCAAAAGCGAATAGCTGGCGGTAATTATTAGAAAATAAATTAGGCCATAAAGGTCAGTCAAACGGCATGGGCAACGGATGTTCCAAATGCTGTACGTGTCAGTGCAACGAACATAAACGGCTCAACGGCACGCTGTCCTCGGCCTCGTCCGTCTACAGGAAAAGGTGAATCCTCCTTCAGCCATATACATAGATTTACCGTTTCTCCCTACTCTGCTGCTGTTTACGCTTACTCACACTGAATCAAGGCCGCTGCTTGGCGTGATGTGGCACATACTAAACTTTAACTTTCAGGAGCCGGGGAGAAATACCCATTGAGAACTCCGATCGCTTTCGGATAACACAAACCAGCAATGCCGTTCAGCTCGCCGTAGAGCATGTGCAGCGGGAGGATGCAGGACATTACACGCTGTTCGCACGAACGAAAAGCAACGATGTGGTGCGCAGGCACGTCGAACTCATTGTCGAGGACAGATCGACCGGAGACGATCCGCCTGTGTTCCTGCGGCGCCTGGTCGATCTCTCCGTCAAAGTGGGCACACGAACTCGCCTCCTAACCGAAATACGCAGCTCAACAGATCTAAAGGTATGCCGAAAAAACCCCAAACAAAACAAAAACAAAGAAAATGGTTGCCGTGTAGGGTTGTGCAGTTATCGATTCTCCCCTTTCCTACATTTTGCAACACAGATTTTCACAAAGAGGTTGTGTCGTGCACGCTTTCCATTTAATTTGCAAACCAATTAAAAAACTATTTAAACTTGCAGCTAACATGGTATAGAAACGACAGGAGAGTGTGTGAGAATGATCGCATCACAGAGATCAACGAGGGCACGTTCCACTACTTGGAAGTGAGCCCCGTGACACTGGATGATGGCGGGCAGTGGATGCTGATGGCGGAAAATTTTGGCGGGCGCAACTCGTGTCTGGGCACTATAAATGTGCTTGTTCCCAAAGCGTACAAGACACCCGAGTTTGTGGAGGAGCTGCGAGCCGTGCTGACTGAACAAGGAACTGTTTCGCTAGAGTGCAAGGTGGTGGGGGTTCCCACGCCGCATTTGCGCTGGTTCAAGGACTCCAAGGAGATCAAGGCTGGCGATATCTTTGCACTGACCGCCAATGCCGATGATCCCACATCGCTTGGAACGTACACCTGCGAGGCGAGAAACTGCATGGGCGTCAACTATTCCAGCTCCAAGGTTCATGTGGTGGGACGCGGCAGTCGGGAGGGTTCTCTCAAGCCAGCGGACAAGTGAGTTGTGTCTCCTTTTGTCACTCTTCAGTGCTGATTCTTTGCTTCTCTTTCTGCAGCGTATCGAGCAATGCGCCGCCTCCGATATTCACAAACGAACTGAGGGACATGAGCATCCACATCGGCGAGACAATCATTCTCGGCTGTCAAGGTGAGCACTACGCATACGTTGTTCGCTTCGTGGCTGATCTCCCGTGTTGGCCCCGTGCCAAAGCATTTTTGTTTATCTTTCTCTCGAGCACTCGGACACTTGTGGTTCGCAATCGGCATCACATTCGCATTCGAATATCTTGCTCTTGCGAATATAGTTAAATTCTCGCCGACGCTTGTTTGTTTTTAGACCACGGCGATCGTGCTCTAGAAACTTGAACTCGATTAAATGGTTGGAATGCCTCAAATGTTGAGGCAGGTCAACAGCATCGCAGCGTGGCGACCAAAACAAAACCGATAATTGCTTTGCTGCCTGCCGCCCGAGAGAAGGAAACAAAAACTTTGCTGCGGAGGCAGTGAGAGATAGACTCGGACAAAGCTCTCGCCTTCCGCTCTCACCGTATTATCGTATCGTATCTATTAGTAAATTATTTCACATTGGTTTCTTTTTAGTGGTGGTGCCGCCCTGGCCCAAGAGCGTCAGTTGGTACAACACCGATGGACGTGTGGAGACCGCCGAACGGTATAAACTGATCGAGGATGGGCTGGGCGTTTACATGATCGAGATAAAGCCATCGGAATCTTGCGATGCCGGGGAATGGAAATGTGTAGTCACCAGCTTTGAAGGCTGTGTGGGCATCTCCACCTGTTCGGTTAACATGGACAGTGAGTGAAGATAAACACAAGATTATTCTCCACGACATTGATTAAAATTCATTTCTTTACAGTTCCCAGAAATTATCGCAAGCCGCGGTTCATGGAAAGTCTTCGCGCCGTTCTTACTGAAGAGGGACTCGTCTCCTTCGAGTGCAAAGTGGTGGGCTTCCCAACGCCAGTGCTCAAATGGTTCAAGGATGGCCACGAACTGAAGCCCGGCGATGTGTACCAGCTGACGGGAACCAATTCATTGGGCACCTATTGCTGCATTGCCCGCAACTGCATGGGAGAGACAAGCAGTACGGCTGTACTCACCGTAGAGGACATACAGAATCAACTCACCGACGAGGAGCGCATGGTGTTCACGCAACAGAACCAGGCACCCAAGTTCCTCACGGGCCTGAAGAGCACAGATGCCAAAATCAACGAACCCTTCCAGTTTAAGGTTGTGGTGAAGGCCACACCGGATCCCATACTGTCCTGGTTCCGGGATGAGCTGCCAATCGATCCGAACGACAGATACAATCACTATCGCGGGGAGAGCGACGACTGCTGGCTGCTGGACATCAAGGCAGTCGAGTTTGTGGATCAGGCCGAGTGGAAATGTGTTGCCGTCAATGATTTTGGCACCAGCATCACCTCCTGCTTCCTGAAACTGCAGATACCGCGGCACTACAAGAAGCCTCGCTTCCTCGAGTGTCTGCGAGCGGTGCTCACCGAGGAGGGAGCCGTGAATCTCGAGTGCAAGGTCATTGGCGTGCCCCAGCCCGTGCTCAAGTGGTACAAGGATGGGGTGGAGCTGAAGCCCGGCGATATACATCGAATCATCTCTGGGCAGGATGGCACTTGCTGCCTGGGCACGTACACATGCGAGGCCAGGAATTGCATGGGTATCGTCGCCAGCTCTGCATCACTGCTAGGCTTTGAGGATGCCCAAAGGGGTCAGGGCAAGACCCAGAGCCAGAAGAGTGAATCGCCGCTGCACGAAAACGAATTGCAGCGGAACTACTCACTCTCCACCATTCAGGAGGAGCGCACATCCCAGATGTATGAGACGCCCGTTGGCGACATAACCATTGACGAGAAGGGCGATGTGTCATTCTCCTTCGATGGCAAAGAGGTCTCCGTTTCGCTCTACGAAACGCCCGACCTCACCGAGGAGGAGGCCCTCAAGATTGTGGAAATGTATGCAGATCAAATATCCGAGCATGTGACGGAGCACAATATCGTTGAGCTGCCACCGCTACGATTTGTCAAAGAGACTTCGCAGTCGGGCAAGCTGCTTATGGAAGCTGTTGTCATTGACATAGCTCCCGAGTACTTCAGCCACGAGGAGGATCTTCGCACCGAGGCGGATATGGATGACATATCGATAACAGAGATTACAGTGCATGGCTCGTCCGGAAGGGAGGAAAAGGTGGACAAGGAGATGCAGCAATATGTGCAGCAGTCCTTTGAGAAGATGGAGGAGGAACTGTCGCTTTCTGCGCCCATACGGAAGCGCAAGAAGTCAAGACCCACGGAGACTGACGAGTTCTTCAGCCTGTCGAAGGCCTCGGCTTCGGGCAGCCAGGAAGGAGAGGAGGAGACATCGGATCTGCAGACCTTTGCCAGTGCGCAAATGTCCACATCGCAGAAGGTGGCCACCACCTCAGTCTCTAAGGCCAGTCCAGAGCAGGACCCAGAGTCATTGTCGGTGCCAAAGAGGAAAAAGTCCAAGAAGCCATCAGCCGACAGTGATTCTTCCAAGACCAACGAGGATGAGGCCCGCCTGCAGGACATCTCCGGTGCAGTGGGTGATGGTCTATTGATGACCCCAAAGTCCCACCCAAAAGCAGTCACCGACGAGAGTGAAATCAGTCGAAATCTTATGGCCCTCGTGCCACTGGCCAAGCTTCTCAAGGTAATCGAGAAGCATCTGACGGTAGTGGAGAACGAGGTGGTCGAGCAGTCCACAATGATGATGACGGCGGCTGCTGCAGATCAGAGCATTGCCATCATCCGCAACATTATTGATCCTATTAAGCAGATAGAATCGAAGCTACGCGTCTACTCTGGCGAGACACAGATCGATGGCCTCATCCAGTCCATGGACGAGGACATACGCAAACTCCACATGGGCCTGCAGGTCATTGAGAAGTGTGTGGAGATCGATGAGACTGGGGCAACGCTTATTCAGCGCACCAGTGTCTGCATCATTGACAGTGTGGCCGATCAAATGAAGCGGGCCCTCGAGGAGTTGAAAATCGTCAGCAGGCGGTTCGAGTCAGAGTGCCTGAGGGCACAGATAGAACTCACCGCCGATGACATACAGCAGGGACTGGACATCACACAGGGCACCATCAGATCACAGGCACTACTGCAGGAGGCGCAGGAACTGGAGGCAGCTAAGCATTTCACCGAAGCCGTTGAGAAGATGCAGGATATGCCCGACTCTGTATCCTTTGCCACCATATCGGAGGCCAATTTGCCCAGCGAAGCGAGCGCCTTGAAGGAGATTTGCCAGCCAGTGGCCAGGATACAGGAGGCACTGGAACGTGTCGAGTTAGAGCTGTCGCTGGAGGAGTCAGAGGAGCAAATCTACAAGAAAGTTCACCAGAAAGTGCTCGAAAGCATTGTGGAGCCCATCAAGCAGCTGCAGAGCACCCTGCACTCCATCGAAGACAAGACGGAATCACTGGCAGGAACCGAATCGATGGAACAGAAGATCAATATGGCCATCCTTGACATTGTTACGCCGCCACTGTTCGAGCTCAACAAGGGACTCGAGGTGATACTCAACGAGAAATCAGACAGTGTGGAGGGGGGAATGCTGACGGTTAGCACCGTGGAATCGATGGTGCCGCCCCTGCAGGAGATACAGAATGGCCTGGCGCAGCTGGGACAAGATCTGGAAAGTGGTCAGACCGTAATGGCTGATGCGGCAGAGCAAGAGCTGCGATCCGAGCCAGCTCTGGATGTGGCCGATACGCAAAAGCTACTGCAGTCCTTTGCCCAGGCAGTCTTGCATTTTGAAACGAACATCGAGAGGATTTCACCACGACTATCGTCGAATGTGAAAATTCGCTTGCTTAATCTGAAGGATGAGCTATCGGCACTGATTGGCACCATCTTGGACAGAGAGATAACCGGGCATCACGTGGAGCTGCTCGACAGACTCAAGCGTCCGGTGGATGAACTCAACTACTGCATTCGTCAGACGGAGGTCAAGACTATTTCCGGCTCGCTGGCAGATCTAATTGAACCGCTAAGCATGTTGCAGGATAACACCCAGAAGGGCCATGGCCTGCTTCTTACTGCCCGGGAGCCTGATCAACAGGCCCTGCAGTCGCTCGACAACATCAGAAGCATTATTCGCAACGCAGTCATTGACATTGAAGAGCACGAGTTTAAGATTCTTCAGCAGGAGATTCAGCTGGATGAACAGCAGGCCTCGCAGCAGCAGCAGGACAAATCGTTTAGCGCGCTACGGAAGGTGCTCGAGACAAAAGTCTCCCTGGATGAGACCATCGCAAATCTTGAAACTCTGCAGGTGGCATTAAACAAAATGAGCGAAAGCCCCAAGGCCACGGAATCTGTCAAGTTATCCGCAAACGAAGCTCAAGTGTCGCTTTTGCGGATCCTTCAGATTGCCAAGGGGCTGGCTACCTTCAGCGAGGCAGAGACAACGCTCGACGTGAACGAAGCCAACACATCCAGAGTCCTGTTCGAGTGTGGCAAAAGCTTTGCCGATTTGGCCAGGGCACTTGATAATCCAGCAGCTCAGTCGGAAGGAGACTTCCAGAATGCCCTTCATCAGTTTAGCGAAATCGTTGGTCAACAGCAGCAGAGCACAGAGGAAAAACTCAGCATAGCCGGTCCGCTGTCAAGCCTGATCCACGTTCTCGAAAGGGTACACCCCTTGAGGGCGTCTGTGGAAGATTTATCGGAAACATTGGACGATGTCTCAGTGCTAAAATCGATAGCAGAGTCATTACCCGCAGAGTCCGAAGCAGAGCCCATTAGTACCGAGAAACCATCGACAGATGTTGGAGCCTTGCTCGCGGACCTAAACCATGGAATAACCTCAGTTCTATCCCATTGTGAAGACGTTGATGTGACTTCTCTAGCCAGCAAGGTTGGCCAACAGATCCATTCAGCCATAATTAAAATGCAGGAACTGCAGAGCAGCATAGCTCTGGTGCAGGAGACAAACCTCGTGGAGGCTGCTCATTCTTTTTCGGATTCCAGTTATCAGGGCACTTTTGCCGAGGCCCTTTGCAGCCTGGAACGCTGTGTCCTGCATGTGGAGGAGTGTATTGCCCACAGTGGGGTCGAGAATATCAGTGATCTAGAACTGTCGAAGCTTCAGACATTGGCCACACCACTTCGTGATGTAAGGGAATACTGTGAACAGCTCGATACCCACGTGCTGGAGCAGGCCATGGATATATCCACGCAGGAAGACATTTCGGACCTTAAGACCAGTGGACACAAGCACACCGTTTCGGATAACATCCAAGAGGTAGCTGTCGTAGAAGCAGAGCCAACGGTAGAGATGTTCGATATACAGCAAGGTGTGGCGAGTGGCATCAAGCAGCTCGAGGCCTGCCTGGTGGTCACGCAGACCGATGCCAGCGAAGAACTCCAGCAAGTGGGTGAAATAATGGAGCAGCTAAAGTCCGATCTGGAAAGCATTCAAGCCTCCCTTGTGTCGGGCAACGATCAGCAGGAAACTGTCTTGGCTCAGGCGAAAATTGCACGCACCATGTTCAAATTGAAGGAGTGTCTAGTGCATACCTATGAATCGGGACTGGTTGACTCTTTGGAGAATGTGGAGAGTGCTTTCGAGGACATACTACTCTCCTTGCCAGTACTGGAGACACAATTGGCCGAGGAAATGTTTGGCAAAATCGAGCAAGTCTTCGAGAACTTCGTGGCCCATTGCCAGAGTGCAGAAGCAGTGGAACTCATCTCCCTGAATGCACCTATTGGGAACCTTCTGCAGTCCATAGAAACTGTGGCCGTTCAACCCAACGTTGATGTTGAAAAGTCATCTGCGGTAGTGGTTCAGCTTCAGACTAGTCTGATGACTGCATTTAGAAGTCTCAATGAGGTTAGCGAGGGGGCCAGCAATGAGCTATTGGGGCGCCTGCTCAAAACCCAGAGCAGCCTAGTGACCGTCTTTGATTTTATTGAGAATAGCGAGAACTCGATTCGCATTATCGAATTGCTTCAGGAAATTGATTCCATTACTGGAGACCTAAAGGCCCTTTCTCTTATTCCATTCGAACAGACGGTGCCCATTGACATTGGCATGATCATCGAAAACGTATCGTCAGGTAAAGCCTTCCTAACAGAAATCGAGGAGGGACTGCAGGCCAACAAACCCCAAAGCATCCTGCTTCTTGACGAAAACACGGAGGATATTGCTCAGTTGGAAGCAACACTCATTCAAATTGAGAAAGAAATCCTTTCTCAGCCTCAACTAACGCAGATAACAGCACAGCAATTCACTCTCATAGAAACAGTGCAGCTGCAACTGAATAATCTGAAGGAGAAGCTAACTGAACTGAATGTTTCACTTGCCGGACTTCAAGCAGAGCCCGAATCGGCCCATGAAGCAGACTTGAACGAAGAGATAGAGGACCTTCGAGAAGACACTGAACCCGAAGCTAAGAAAGCAAAGGTTCTAGACCAACCCATTCAGCCAGCTGAAAAGGATGTAGAAGTAACTGACACCACAGACAAGGTCCAAGAAAGCGTGGTGGCTGCGGACCAACAGAAAGCAACTAAGAAAGATGCCCAGACTGAGGAAGATGCTGACAGCAGTCCGGCAGACAAATTGAAGGAGAAGTTCTTGGATCTTTCCCATGCGCTTGCTCTTAGTACAAACAACGACGCAATGCAGGCAATTGTGACAGACAGCCAAGATATTATCGAGAATCTCAGTGATGTGGACAAGGTAGCCAAGTCCATATTTAAATTACGAGAGCACATCGTTCATACCTATGACGGAAAGACACCAAATGTCGAAAATGATAGGCAGCTCGCAGAGGAATTTATCGAAGCCCTTTTAGAGGCCTGCCCCGATGCATCTGAGCAATTAATTCACAACTATCTTAAGGAAATTAAGACAAATGTGATTTTGACTAAAGCTTCAATTCAGCTCATCGACGAGAGCAACATGTTCACCAAACCATCCCTATTGGTGCCGAAGCTAGTTAATCTTGAACGGATTTCTGAGAAAATTCAGTCTACGCAACATTTAGATAAGTCTTCCGAAAAGATGATCAGCTTGCAACAGAATCTAATGGATATTTTCATCATACTTGACGACCTATTAGACGAGAAGACGGAAATCTTGAAGCCAAAGATTGAAGATATTAAGTCGATTTTGCTCGGCGAGTATGACTACATTGAAAAGAAACAAGGAGATCTTCATACTGCAATTGTCCATGGAAAGATTCACAATGTTACGCAGAAACTGTTGAGAATTCGTAAAGATCTGAAAGACTAGATTGGCAAAGAACGTAAAAATAGATAAGTAGAGGAAATTTCTGAGGTTGAAGTTCCTACTGAACAGATATCCGAAGAAAGAGATAGCCAAGATAAAGCCAAGATAGCAACGGCTGTAGAACAACAAGAACTTGAGGAGAAAAATCTGGATGAGCACAAACAGAAACAGGCTAAAGATGTTGAGGTTGTTGCTGAAAAGATATCTGAAGAAAAGGTTGAAGAAAGCCAGAAAGCTGATGTCAAGGATTCCGAAGCTAAAGCAAAGAAAGCAAAGGCTCTGGAACAACAAGAACTTGAGGAGAAACAACTGGAGGAGAACAAACAGAAGCAAGCTGAGAAGGATGCTGAAAAGAAGTCCCAGAAGGCCGAAGAGTCTGAGGTTGTTGCTGAAAAGATATCCGAAGAAAAGGTTGAAGAAAGCCAGAAAGCTGATGTCAAGGATTCCGAAGCTAAAGCAAAGAAAGCAAAGGCTCTGGAACAACAAGAACTTGAGGAGAAACAACTGGAGGAGAACAAACAGAAGCAAGCTGAGAAGGATGCTGAAAAGAAGTCCCAGAAGGCCGAAGAGTCTGAGGTTGTTGCTGAAAAGATATCCGAAGAAAAGGTTGAAGAAAGCCAGAAAGCTGATGTCAAGGATTCCGAAGCTAAAGCAAAGAAAGCAAAGGCTCTGGAACAACAAGAACTTGAGGAGAAACAACTGGAGGATAACAAACAGAAGCAAGCTGAGAAGGATGCTGAAAAGAAGTCCCAGAAGGCCGAAGAGTCTGAGGTTGTTGCTGAAAAGATATCCGAAGAAAAGGTTGAAGAAAGCCAGAAGGCGGATGACAAGAAGCCAGATGAGAAGGACATGGAGAAGGCCCAGAAAGCAGAAGTTTGTGAAGTTCTTTCTGAGAAGGTGTCGGAAGAAAATGTGGAAGATGTCAAGAAACTTCATGGAGCATCCAAACCTCAAGAGGAAAAGGTGGAGAAACAAGGACTCGAGGAGAAACAACTGGAAAAGAAAAAGCAAAAGCAGATTGAAATAGAAACTGGCAAGAAGTCCCAAAAGGCAGACAAATTGAAGGAGAAGTTCTTGGATCTTTCCCATGCGCTTGCTCTTAGTACAAACAACGACGCAATGCAGGCAATTGTGACAGACAGCCAAGATATTATCGAGAATCTCAGTGATGTGGACAAGGTAGCCAAGTCCATATTTAAATTACGAGAGCACATCGTTCATACCTATGACGGAAAGACACCAAATGTCGAAAATGATAGGCAGCTCGCAGAGGAATTTATCGAAGCCCTTTTAGAGGCCTGCCCCGATGCATCTGAGCAATTAATTCACAACTATCTTAAGGAAATTAAGACAAATGTGATTTTGACTAAAGCTTCAATTCAGCTCATCGACGAGAGCAACATGTTCACCAAACCATCCCTATTGGTGCCGAAGCTAGTTAATCTTGAACGGATTTCTGAGAAAATTCAGTCTACGCAACATTTAGATAAGTCTTCCGAAAAGATGATCAGCTTGCAACAGAATCTAATGGATATTTTCATCATACTTGACGACCTATTAGACGAGAAGACGGAAATCTTGAAGCCAAAGATTGAAGATATTAAGTCGATTTTGCTCGGCGAGTATGACTACATTGAAAAGAAACAAGGAGATCTTCATACTGCAATTGTCCATGGAAAGATTCACAATGTTACGCAGAAACTGTTGAGCATTTGTGAAGATCTGAAAGACTTGATTGGCAAACAAACTCAAAAAAAAGAAGTAGAGGAAATTTCTGAGGTTGAAGTTCCTACTGAACAGATATCCGAAGAAAGAGATAGCCAAGATAAAGCCAAGATAGCAACGGCTGTAGAACAACAAGAACTTGAGGAGAAAAATCTGGATGAGCACAAACAGAAACAGGCTAAAGATGTTGAGGTTGTTGCTGAAAAGATATCAGCAGAAAGGGTTGAAGAAAGCAAGAAGGCTGATGTCAAGGACGGCGAGGCCAAGAAAGAAAAGGCTCTGGAGAAACAAGAACTTGAAGAGAAACAACTGGATGAGAACAAACAGAAGCAAGCTGAGAAACAGGCTGAAAAAGAGATATCCGATGAATTGGTTGAAGAAAGCCTGAAGGCAGATGTCAAGGACTCCGAAGCTAAAGCCCAGAAAGCAAGTGCTCTGGAACAACGAGAACTCGAGGAGAAATCACTGGAGGAGAACAAACTTAAGGAAGCTGAGAAGGAAGCTGAAAAGAAGTCCCAGAAGGCCGAAGAGTCTGAGGTTGTTGCTGAAAAGATATCCGAAGAAAATGTTGAAGAAAGCCAGAAAGCTGATGTCAAGGATTCCGAGGCTAAAGCAAAGAAAGCAAAGGCTCTGGAACAACAAGAACTTGAGGAGAAACAGCTGGAGGATAACAAACAGAAGCAAGCTGAACTGGATGCCGAAAAGAAGGCACAGAAGGCAGAGGAATCTGCGGTTGCTGCTGAAGAAAGCAAGAAGTCTGATGTCAAGCACTTCGAATCTAATGCCAAGGAAGCAAAGGCTCTGGAGAAGCAACTGGTGGATAACAAACAGAAGCAGGCTGAAAAGGATGCCGAAAAGATGTCCCAGAAGGCCGAAGAGTTTGAGGTTGTTTCTGAAAAGATATCAGAAGAAAAGGTTGAAGAAAGCCTGAAGGCTGATGTCAAGGATTCCGAGGCTACAGCAAAGAAAGCAAAGGCTCTGGAGAAGCAAGAACTCGAAGAGAAACAACTGGAGGATAACAAACAGAAGCTAGCTGAGAAGGATGCAGAAAAGAAGTCCCAGAAGGCCGAAGAGTCTGAGGTTGTTGCTGAAAAGATATCTGAAGAAAAGGTTGAAAAAAACCAGAAAGCTGATGTCAAGGATTCCGAGGCTAAAGCAAAGAAAGCAAAGGCTCTGGAGAAGCAAGAACTCGAAGAGAAACAACTGGAAGATAAGAAACAGAAGCAAGCTGAGAAGGATGCTGAAAAGAAGTCCCAGAAGGCCGAAGAGTTTGAGATTGTTTCTGAAAAGATATCAGAAGAAAAGATTGAAGAAAGCCTGAAGGCTGATGTCAAGGATTCCGAGGCTACAGCAAAGAAAGCAAAGGCTCTGGAGAAGCAAGAACTCGAAGAGAAACAACTGGAGGATAACAAACAGAAGCAAGCTGAGAAGGATGCTGAAAAGAAGTCCCANAAGGCTCTGGAGAAGCAAGAACTCGAAGAGAAACAACTGGAAGATAAGAAACAGAAGCAAGCTGAGAAGGATGCTGAAAAGAAGTCCCAGAAGGCCGAAGAGTTTGAGATTGTTTCTGAAAAGATATCAGAAGAAAAGATTGAAGAAAGCCTGAAGGCTGATGTCAAGGATTCCGAGGCTACAGCAAAGAAAGCAAAGGCTCTGGAGAAGCAAGAACTCGAAGAGAAACAACTGGAGGAGAACAAATTGAAGCAAGCTGAGAAGGATGCTGAAAAGAAGTCCCAGAAGGCCGAAGAGTCTGAGGTTGTTGCTGAAAAGATATCCGAAGAAAAGGTTGAAGAAAGCCAGAAAGCTGATGTCAAGGATTCCGAGGCTAAAGCCAAGAAAGCAAAGGCTCTGGAACAACAAGCACTTGAGGAGAAACAACTGAAAGAAAAGAAACAGAAGCAGGCTGAAAAGGATGCCAAAAAGAAGGACCAGAAGGCCGAAGAGTCTGAGGTTGTTGCTGAAAAGATATCCGAACAAAAGGTTGAAGAAAGCCAGAAAGCTGATGTTAAGGATTCCGAAGCTAAAGCCAAGAAAGCAAAGGCTTTGGAACAACAAGAACTCGAGGAGAAACAACTGGAAGAGAAGAAACAGAAGCAGGCTGAACAGGATGCAGAAAAGAAGGCTCAGAAGGCAGAGGAATCTGCGGTTGCTGCTGCAGAAAGCAAGAAGGCGGATGTCAAGCACTCCGAATCTAAAGCCAAGGAAGCAAAGGCTCTGGAGAAGCAACTGGAGGATAACAAACAGAAGCAGGCTGAAAAGATGTCCCAGAAGGCCGAAGAGTCTGAGGTTGTTGCTGAAAAGGTTGAAGAAATCAAGAAGGCGGATGTCAAAGATTCCGAGGCTAAAGCCAAGAAAGCAAAGGCTCTGGAACAACAAGAACTCGAGGAGAAACAACTGAAAGAAAAGAAACAGAAGCAGGCTGAAAAGGATGCCAAAAAGAAGGACCAGAAGGCCAAAGAGTCTGAGGTTGTTGATGAAAAGATATCCGAAGAAAAGGTTGAAGAAAGCCAGAAGGCAGATTTCAAGGACATCGAAGCTAAAGCCAAGAAAGCAAAGGCTTTGGAACAACAAGAACTCGAGGAGAAACAACTGGAAGAGAAGAAACAGAAGCAGGCTGAACAGGATGCAGAAAAGAAGGCCCAGAAGGCAGAGGAATCTGCGGTTGCTGCTGCAGAAAGCAAGAAGGCGGATGTCAAGGACTCCGAATCTAAAGCCAAGAAATCAAAGGCTCTGGAGAAGCAACTGGTGGATAACAAACAGAAGCAGGCTGAAAAGGATGCCGAAAACATGTCCCAGAAGGCCGAAGAGTCTGAGGTTGTTGCTGAAAAGATATCTGAAGAAAAGGTTGAAGAAATCAAGAAGGCTGATGTCAAGGATTCCGTGGCTAAGGACAAGAAAGCAAATGCTCTGGAGAAGCAAGAACTCGAGGAGAAGAAACAGAAGAAGGCTGAAAAGGTTGCCGAAAAGAAGACCCAGAAGGTAGTAGAATCTGAGGTTGCTGCTGAAAACATATCTGAAGAAAAGGTAGAAGATAGCAAAAAGATCCCTGAAGACAATATTGTTGAAGAGAGAAAGTCACAGCGCGATGTTGAGAGAAATCTAAGAGTGGAACAACCTTCCGACGCCATTAGTATGCGATCGTACAAATCAATGGATTCCGAGTACAAGGATAAAAAGGAATCGCGCAGTGCTAAGCGTAAGCCCACCGTAGACATCCAGCTAACCAATCGGAACACGGCAACCGGCAGTGATCTTAAGCTGACTTGTGGACTATCTGGACACGAGATGAGGGTGGAGTGGTTCAAGCAGAACACTCCGATTGATAATGGAGTCAAGTACAGGAAAACATTGAACGACGGCCTCTCGTGCCTTGAAATTAAATCGGCCGAGCTGAGTGATTCTGGCATCTATCGCTGCATAGCGTCCAACCAAAATGGAGAAGTCGAAACGAGCTGTCTTGTGACTATATACGAAGCACCTTCGAGCAAATTTGGCACACCGCCAATATTTACACGCAACATTCGAGGTAAGTGGCGGCGATTGTGCCCTGATCTACCTATTCTACCTAGTGATCCAATGCCCAAATTTCAAACTCAATTAAAGACAAATTATTCAATTATTTGCATTTATGCATCTTGACTTGGCATCCAACGTACACCTAATGTGTAAGGTATATATAAATAGACCCAATATATAGGAAGCAAGTATGCGTAAGGCTCTTGATTAAGTATTAATCTTATTATATTGCTTATTCTTATTTATCGAAGTAGTGGGTTTTGCATCTAAGAAATATTCAGTGAAAAATAATGCATGTTCTCTGGTTGCTGACAGCTAGTTCCTGAGCAAATGGGTTAGAGAATTATCAGTGCAAATAGTAATAATAAAAGAGTCACTAATCGTAGGACGTGTGCGTGTATTGGATTCGCACATTGACTAACCAAACAAATCGTTTCGCACTTTCGGTTCGCAAATATGGCATGTGTTCAGTTTTGAAGGTAAATGAGGCAGCCCCATTATCATGGCATTTAAATAGAAACCTATTTAAATAGCTCACTTAATTCGCTGCATTTATATAATTGAATTTACATATGCATTTACTGCCTGCATTTACTGTCTGCATTCATTCAAGTGAATAATTATTTAAATAGAAATGCATTTTGGCACTGAATGTTGCTGCATGTGTGTGATCGTGTGATTGTGCGAACGAACACTTTGCGGCGAAACAAAACAGAATTCGTAAAATAGTTCTGAGCTTAACAATCGATTGGGAATTAGGATGAGATCGTAAGAGATCGGAGGGGTTCGTTTGGATTCGATTCGAGAAGGAATGTATTTTCGAATATTTCACCACGTTCGGTGACAGTCGTGAATCTTCTTTTGCTTCGAGCGGACGTCTCACGTCCTAAAAAACTATCGATCGAACCGTTGCGGGCTATATAGTATACATATAGATAGTATATAAAGTCGGACGGATATAATTTTTATCGGTTACCCATTACGAACTCCATTCCCACGTTATCCTTCCATAAACCGCCTTGAAAAAAAGGTACGAAACCAATCAAAATGGGAGAAACGGATGGAGATATCGAGCCACGGGCCTCGGCCGAACCAGAGGCGCCAGCAGCGCAGGACACCTTGCAGGTGCCAACGCAAAAGAAGCGAAAACTCAAATCACCAACTCCGGGCAGCTTACGCGGACGCAGCTCCACGCCAATACATGGCCGGAGTCAGACGCCGTTCAGCCTCTACATGACTCGACGCAGTGCCACGCCCTCTACATGGCGCAGCATTACGCCTTTCCTGAATCGCGAGGAGAAGGAGAAGACTCCTTTCGAGCTGGGTCGGGACATAAAGAGCCAGACCACGTGCAACATTGCCGTCTTCGATCGGGCCCTCGTCATGGATATCTCCGAGCCGTTGGATGTGCAGAAGCCCGTGCGTTACATAACGTCGGACTTGTCGGTAATCGATCGCGCTGCCGTAATGGATGTGTCGAACGTTGAGGTTATCTACGTCGTGGAGGAGTACGAGGAGGTCGACGAGGAGGAGGAGATCCTCGAGGAGGTGAAGCCCAAGAAAAAGGAGAAGAAGGCTAGGAAGCCGCGTGTCGCGCGCAAGTCCGTCGACTTGACATCGGGCGGGGAAGATATCGATGATCTTGCTGAAGGCCTCGATGACCGGGAGGAAAGTTTGGATCTCGACGATGACGAGCCCGTCAAGAAGGGCAAGAAGAAGGCTCCGCCCAAGAAGAAGGAGAAGAAGGAGAAGTCACCCAGTCCCAAGTTGAGCTTGAAGCTGGAGATTGGTGGCGGCCAGAAGGCCAGCAAGAAGATGTTCGAGCAGCAGCAGGCTGGACCCAAGCCACCGCCAAAGAAGAGCAAGATGGTGCTCCAAATGGAGGAGCAAGCCAAGGCGGCTGCTAAGGCCGCCGAGGAGGCGGCCGCACGTGCCAAGCCCAAGGGCGAGACCTTTGAGGAGCGCCAGAAGCGTCTGCAGGCCGAGAAGGAGGAACAGGAGGAGCAGGAACGCCTAGAGGCCGAGCAGCGGGCTCTAGAGGAGGCCGAGGCGGAAGCCGAAGAGGAAGAGGAGCTACCAGAGGAGGGCGATGAGGCTGGCTACGGAGAAGAGGGCAACGAAAATCTCGAGGAAGGTGAAGAAAATCCCGAAGAACTCGCCGAGGAAGAGGAGGACGTTGTGGTCCCCCTGAAGAAGGAGAAACGACGCGGCAGCGACTCCTCCGACGACTTTGTTCGTCCCGATCCCCACGAGGAGGAGCGCTGGCAGCGCATTGCCGCCATCGAGGGTGAGGCGTTCATGCAGCAGATGCGCAAGTACAGCATGGCCAAGCGCATCAGCGAGAAGGAGCGCGACGCCGACTGGCAGAATCGCCGGGAGCAGGCACGCCGACCCAAGTTCATCAACTTCCTCTCCGATCGCACCGTCGAGTGCGGTCAGAGTGTGCGCCTCGCCTGCGCCGTCGACGGGCCCGAGCTGTCGGCCAAGTGGTTCAAGGATCGCCGGCAGCTGGAGCGCGATGGCAACCATCGTATTCTCAACAATAACAACATTCTCGTTCTGGAGGTGCTCAACACAAACATCCTGGACTCCGGCGAGTATTCGTGTGTGATCTCGAACCAGAACGACGAGGTGACCTCCTCGTGCATTGTCACCATCTACGAAGTGTTCAAGGATGAGCCGAAACCCCCATCCATTCAGTACATCAAAGGTATATGTCGGAGAGTGAGCGTGTTCGCGTTCAGGTGCAATCCATGCTGCCATGCTGTAGCTTTTCTTTGCCTCTTCCAGAGTACTATCATCTGCGCGACGATGAGCTGACCATCGAGTGCCATGTTCATGGTGTGCCCCGGCCGGTTATCACTTGGTGGCGTGGTGCCTTCCAGGTGAAGCCCAGCTACAAGTTCACCATGCTGGAGGAGGCACACGGTGTCTGCAAGCTGCTGATCTACAAGCCCGGCAACAAGGACGGCGGCATCTACACGCTGAAGGCCATCAATTCCATTGGCGAGGCTCAGATCAATCACACCGTGGAGGTGGCCAAGAATCTGCACTACCATGTGCCGGGCATCTTCCATGCCCGCGACAGGATCCAACTGGACAGCTTGAAGCAGGCCAAGAAGCAAATGGACGCGGCTCTCAAGTCCATGGCTGAGTCGGATCAGAGGCGTGCCGAGGCCGAGGCCGAACAGGCGCGCCTCCGTCCAGTGCGTGCCTCCCCAGAGCCACTGGTGCCCTCCAAGCAAAAGCTCTCGTTTGCCACCCAGCTGCGTGATCGCATGGCACTCGAGGGATCCACCATTAAGTTTGTGGCCACCGTCATCGGGCCCTCGCCCAGCACCCGCTGGATGAAGGACGACAAGTGGGTGGTCGTTGGTGGCAACGTTAAGAACCTCTCGGAAGAGGGCAAAGCCATTCTGGCCATCGAAAACGCCACCACTGCCGACTCGGGCGTCTACAAGTGCGTGGCCAAGAACGATCTCAGCGAAATTGAAACCTCTTGCTACTTCAAAGTGTATGCGGCACAGACCGATGGCGACGAAACGGAGCCCATATTCGCCCTGCCCCTGCGAGGTACTCTTTGCTCGTCTCGTCTCGTCTCTCAATGTTACTCACTGTGGATGTCTCTGTGGATATACTGTGTCCCTAAGTGTTCTGATTACACGACTGCTATATGTGAAACATGTGTCCGTGTTTGTGCGGTGTCCGTGTGTGTTGTCCGACGATCGCGATTGAGGTCGTCCGTGTACGAAAATAGATGAATTGATTGATTGGATGCCTTTTCCTTTGCCTTAGATGTATATCATGCCTCGCAGAACGATCTAATTCTCGATACGAAGGTGCGCGGCAATCCCCGACCCGTCATCTCGTGGACCAAAGACCAGATACCCGTGGTGCTTGACGATCGGGTGGTGCAGATCGAGCACTTGGACGGCATCTGTGAGCTGATCATCAACAAGCCGACCGTCAATGACAACGGCATCTATGTTTGCACGGCCCAGAACAAGTTGGGCACTCAGTCGACCACCCACACGGTCGTCGTCGACACACACTCATCCCGTCGATCGAGTATTCTCTCCACTTTGGCCATGCAGGACGGCGCAAAGGAGGGCGATGCCGCGGAGGGCGGTGTCAAGGCCAAGAGCAGGCCGAAGAAGAAGAAGGACGATGAAGAGGAGGGCGGTGGCGGTGGGGATGGCGGCTACGAACGACGCAGCCGCATGCCGGACCCTTCGCCCAAGCAAATGCTATACTTCACGGTCAATCTGTCCAATCGCTATGTGGCCGAAGGCTCCAAGGTCAAGTTGCAGGCCGTAATTGGCGGTCCCGAGCCGACGCTCAAGTGGCAGAAGGATGACCAGAATGTTACCTTCGGACCGAAAATTCGCAACATGAATCGCGATGGACTGGCGGTCCTGGAGTTTGTCAACGCCTCCACAGAGGACTCGGGCACGTACTCGATCACCGCCCAGAACGAACACTGCAAGATCACCACCTCGGCCGTGCTGCATGTCTACGAGACGAAGGTCAACACCGATGTCCAGCCCGTGTTTATTCGCTCGCTGAAAGGTAAGGGATCAAGCATAACCATTACATTGTCTTCCCATCGGGTGCGAGATCAGATAAGATCGGTGGGAGATCTATAATTAGCTGCCATCCGACATTGATCGCTTGTTGGTTGTGCAATGCCAACGATCGCATCTCGACCATTATGCAATCCATTCTGTTGTTTGTGGTGTCGTCTTCTCTCTCTCTCTCTCTCTCTCTGTCGTTGCATAATACAAATTTCTGCCATCCTCTTTCCCGTATGTAAAGACACGTATCATCTGAACACCAATGAGCTCATCCTGGAGACGGCGGTGCGTGGCCAGCCCACACCGGAGGTACAGTGGTTCAAGGACAGCATTGAGATCCAGAGCGGCGGTCGCTTCCAGGTGATTGAGCATCAGGATGGCACCTGCGAGCTCCTCATCGATCGCCCGGACAACAAGGACTCGGGCAAATATGTGGTCAAGGCCGAGAGCCGCGCCGGCAAAATGGAGATCTCGCATTATGTGCTGTTCGAGGGCAAGGCCCATCACATTGCGGACAACATCCATGGCGTGTTTCATGCGGACAAGAATCTGCTGCGTCCCAAGGAGGAGAAAGAGAAGCCATCGGAGGACTGGAGGAAGCCAGCACCAGTGGCAGCCGCACCCGAGGCCGAGTCTGAGGCTGAGGCCGAGGAGGGAGGCAAGGGCAAGCGACGTGGCCGCAAGGCGGACGATGAGGAGGGAGCCTCATCGGCCTACGCCTCGGACTATGCCTCGGACACGGGCAGTATTTCGAGCAAGCGTCGCGAGAAGAACATCGTCATCCACTTCAGCACATCGATGAGGGATCGTGTGGTGGCCGAGGGCTCCAAGGTGAAGATCTCGTGCTTCCTGGACGCCAAGGAGCCGCAGGTCAAGTGGTTCAAGGACGGAGAGCAGATAACGAACTCACCCAAGATCAGGGGTCGCTACAGCGAGGGATTGTGCCTGCTGGAGATCATGAGCGCCACGGCGGAGGACAACGGCGAGTACAAGTGCTGGGGACGCGATGAGACCGGTGAGGCGTCCACCTCGTGCCGCCTGGAAGTGTTCGAGGATCCGGGCACTGGCGACGTGCCCCCCACATTCACCCGCAACATCAAGGACACGCTGCACGGCAAGATCAACGAGCTGCAGCTGGATGTGCATGTGCGCGGTCTGCCCACGCCCGCAGTCACGTGGGTGAAGGATGGCGTGAAGATCGAGAACAGCGACAAGTACCAGCAGGTGGACCACGATGATGGCACCTGCGAGCTGTTCATCAGCAGCCCGAAGCCCTCGGACAGCGGCAAGTACGTGTGCCAGGCCGAGAATCGCGAGGGCAAGACGGAGATCGTGCACATGGTCACCGTGGAGAAGCGTGTTCGGGCACCACGCGTCTCGCCGCCCAGGGAGGGTCGTCCACCACGTCCTGCTGGCGATGGCGAGGAGCCACCAGCTGAAGGCGAGGAGGGAGAGGCAGGAACCGACGGTGAACCACGACGCAGGAAGCCCAAGCCTGACGAAGAGGAGGCGACAAGCTCCAGGCGCGAGGTGCCCATGCCACCGGATCTAAGGAAGCGTCTGTACTTCCGCAACTACCTCTCGAACCGCACCGTCAAGTCGGGCAGCAACGTCAAGTGGATGGTGAACATTGACGGCCCAGAGCCCAGTGCCAAGTGGTTCCATGGCGACCAGCCGATCGCCTTCGGGCCCAAGAGCAAGATGTCCATGCAGGACGGCATTGCCTGGCTGAATCTGGTGGGTGTAACAGAGGAGGATGCCGGCGAATATACGCTGCGGGTGAGGGGATCCGACAACGAAATCGTTAGCACTTGCAACCTGTTCGTTTACAGCACGGGTAAAGAGGAGATAATCCCACCCACCTTTGTCGTGGGCATCAAAGGTAGGACGCGTTACTCGTTTGTGGGTTCTTGAGTGTCTCACGCCAGTGCGTCCACGTGAATATTCCACCTTTCATATTTGAGCTTAGTGTAGTCCTACTGTACTCCTAGATGTAGCTTTAAGGAAATCTAATCCCTAGATTATTCCCATCTGTATTCTGTCTTATGTGAATTGTGTCTTGTCTCTTTCCCATCATCCATTATCCATTTGGGCTGCAGATGCGTACCATTCCCAAGGCAATAGCCTCACGCTGGAGTGCAAAGTGTCGGGCAGCCCCAAGCCACACATCTACTGGCAGCGGGACAACACGCTGCTGCCACTGGAGGGTGGCAAGTACCAGTATGCAGAGCAGAGCGACGGCGTGAAGCTCCTGACTATTACACGCTTTGGCAGCAACGACTCTGGCCTGTACACTTGCTATGCTGAGAGCGAGAATGGTCAGATGAAGATCAGCAAGTTCGTGCAGGCCTCCGACTATGTGCGCGAGCGAGCGGCTGACAAGAAACCAATTGATATGGTTATTCAGGAGATCAAAAGGGATGATGAATCCTCCTCCACTACGGCTGCCAGTGACAATGCGGCAGCCAAGGCCAAGGCACGCGAGGCGAAGCTGCGCCTCAGCCTGGAGACCAGCCTGAAGACCATGACCATCGGCACTGGCAACAAGGCGCAGATGATTTGCTATGTGACCGGCTTCATCGAGGATGTGCACTGGTTGCGCAATGATGAGCGAGTGACAAAGGATGCCCGGCACAAGATCTACAACATAAACGGAGCCATCAGCCTGGAGATCTACGATGCGCGGGTCGAGGACAGTGGCCACTACAGATGTGTCGTAAAGAACAGCAAGCAGACCGTGGAGAGTGCGGGACAGCTCAGTGTGTTGGATCAGAGTCACGGACAGCTGCCGGAGAGCTTCTCCAGTGGCATAACAGGTGAGATTGACCCATCCATGATTTTTCCTTTACTAATCTTGGTATTTGTTCTTGCCAGAGTCCTACGATGCGCAAAGGAATGAGATTGTGCTCAGCTGTCAGGTGCATGGACGACCCAGTGTCAGTTGGATGCGCGACGATCACACAATCTGCAACAATCGCTACAAGACAATGGAGGAGCCCGGCGGAGTGCGTAAGCTGATCATACGCAATCCCATATCCTCGGATTGCGGCATCTTTGCCTGCTATGCGGAGCACGAGGAACGTATCGATTCGATCAGCACCACCATTAGAGCCGCTGCCCTTAAGCGCCTCATCACTGTCAGTGCAGAGGATGCATTGGCCAATTCTGATCAGGATTTGTCCAGTTGGTCACGCAGCACATCGTATTTAAGCACAACAGCTGCGCAGGTCAATGGTAATGGAGAGCTTCATCGCGAGGGAGATCGCATCAGTCGCAGCGTGGGCAAAGCCAAGCCGCTCTTCCACGCTCTGCTGCACGATCGCACCGTTTCCGAGGGAGCCACTCTACGGCTTCTGTGCGCAGTTTCGGGCGATGAGAACACACACATTGAGTGGCTAAAGAATCACAAACCGCTGCCCAAGGACACGCGCTATCAGACGCTCTACCAGAACGGCGAAGCCTCCCTGGAGATCTTTGCAGCCGTGGCCGATGACAGCGGCAACTACACCTGCTGTGCCAGCAACGATTTCGGCGAGAGTCTCACCCACGCCCAGTTGCGTGTCTACAAGCACTTCAAGGAAGCCTCACAGCCAAGTACATTTACGCAGTCAATCCGAGGTAGAGCCCGGAGAACCCGAAAAGGAGAACTTTCGCCTGCGCCTTTGCACCACATCTTTGCTGTTCTGCTAACCGCTTCTGTAATTCCATTGACTCTGTTGACCCTTTGCTTATCCTTGTTTTTGTTCACTTTTTGCAGACACATATTCTCTAAACGAGAATGAGTTGGTTCTGGATTGTCGCGTGCGTGGCAAGCCACGCCCCGAGATTGTGTGGATGAAGGGCACCGAGATACTGAACAACGATGGCAAGTTCGTGATGAGCGACCAGGCTGATGGCTATGCCAAGCTGGTCATTAACAGCCCCACCGAGAAGGACTCTGGCGTGTACACGTGCGTGGCCCGCAATGAGGGAGCCGAGAACAAGATGTCTCATCAGGTTGACTTCAAGGGACGCGAACGGTACACACAGGAGAAGACGTCAGGCTTCTACCATCGTGACCCCAACAAGCCGCACTTCCTCATGCCGCTGGGCAACCAGACCGTCTGCGATGGCGGCACTGTGGCCATCTCAGCCGAGTTCATGCAGACAACCACACCCCTCGAGGTAAAATGGTTGCGCGACCGCCAGGTGGTCGAAGGACCCAATGTCCAGACGCTGGCTGAGCGCGGTGTCTACACGCTGACCATCATGAAAGCTGGATCCGAGGTTGAGGGCACGTACACCTGCCGCGCTTCGAATGCATACGGACGCATCGAGTCGCATGTCAATATCGATGTGGCTGTTGGTGCACCCAAGGAGGAGCGACCACCGCTGTTCCTGTCGCGCCCAGATACCGAAATGAAGATTGCCGTGGGTGATCCCTTCTCGTTTGCCTTCCGCATTGCCGGCGATCCAAAACCAAGGCGTAAGCTAGTCTTTTGTGTGTGCTGGGATATCCACTAATCAAATTCGATTGTTTCACGTTGCAGTCACATTCATGAAGGGCACCAAGGACATCACCCAATCGGATCGTGTCAGCCAAGAGGTATCCGATGACTACACCAGATTCACAGTGCAGCAGGCCCAAATCTCCGACTCGGGCACATATTTCGTTGTGGCACGTAACAACTTTGGCACGGACAGGATATTTGTTACCGTCACGGTAAGATCTTTGGGATAATGTATCTGTGTCTGTGTGGTTTCTGTTTGCTATTGCTTGTGGCTGTACCTTCCATGTCTTGTCTCTGTTTCTGTGTGCTCTACGAGTGCCAAATGCTTTTCGCTAACTAACCTTTTGCTATTATTTCTCTTCTTTTCTCTGCTTCTGCTTCTCTTCTTCTAGATTAAAATCCCCAAAAAGAAAGAATAAAGCTTATTAATTAAACATATATAAATATATTTTGCAAATTTCGAACGCCTCCGCCACCAACAAACTACCAACAAATCCAACTCCAAATACAATTATAATTAATAATTCAACAAGTCAACTTTCCTGACTCTCTCTCTCTCTCTCTCTATGTGTTCATTCAAAGCAATATAATAATATCGTTCTGACTACAAAACTTATAGGTAAACCCACGCGCACGCTCAGCAACGCCAACGCAACCACGCTGGGGCCTACCCCTGGACAGTTACAGCGACACATCGTATTTCAGAGGTGAGTGAACTCGAGTGTGACCAATTTGTATCCCTCTGTACCAACGATTAAAGAACAGATCGAAGTATCCTTCTTGTAACCTTTTTGTTTACCCCTTTTGTGGATCATCGTCTTACTCCTTTGTCCGTTCGTTGTCCGTTCCATCCTATGTCTGTCTGTCTGTTCGTGTGCGTTCATTCTCTTGAGATATGATGCCAGAGCTTTGGTTGGATCTTTTTGCAGATCGGTTTAAGTACCGCCACAAACCACAACCACAAACGACAAAAGAGATTTCCTGTGAGATCAATGAGATCGATAGATCAATACGATCGATACACCCTGCAGCAGCAGCACACACACAAAGTAATTCGTGTATTTATCTTTTGTTAGTATTTCTGAACGATTGACTTAATTACTTTTATTATCGTATATAAATAATGTATTATTTAAAGCACAGCAATCCAGCTTATACATTTACGTAGTGGAAAAACAAGAAAAATAAAAAAATATTTCTCCGGGGCGTGTGCTGTCTTTGATTTGAGGATTTGGATGGATCTCTCTTTGATATACTCATATACATTTTCCATCTGTGGACTATCATTCATTCATTTGTTTTGTTTTGCACACCCACACAGATCCACCTGGCTGCATATCCACCGAGCCGCTGGTCGTTGACTCTGGACCCTCGCACATCTCCCTGTCATGGGGAAAGCCGGTGAGCGCCAACTCAGCTCCGGTTATTGCCTACAAGGTGGACGCTTGGATTGTGGGCCACGAGGGTGGCGCCTGCTGGCGAGAACTCGGACTGACACCCATCAACTCCTTCGACGCTTTCAATCTGAAGCCCAATCTGGAGTATCACTTCCGTGTGACGCCCAAAAATCGCTACGGCTGGGGACCGGCTGTGCAGACGAGCTCCACTCTGCAGGTAGGCGGCGTCGAGTGCCTGCCCGAGTTCGTCAAGATCCTGCCCGGCCAGGTGAAGGCCTTGCTTGGCGCCTCCTTCACGCTGCAGTGCAACATGCGAGGAGCCCCACGGCCGCAGATAACTTGGTACAAAGATGGCATTCAACTGAGCAGCAGCTCGGAGCGCGTGCGGATACGACAGATTGGCTCTACCTGTGCCCTGACTATACCCACGGTCAGCGATCTGGACTCGGGCCGCTACACCTGCGAGGCGACCAATTCCAAGGGCCGCGTCTCCACCTTTGCACGGCTGCAGGTTGTTTCCGATTCGCGGCTGTACGAGGCGGATTCCCGCCTGAAGGAAATCGCGCACGGGCGCAATGTGGCTGAGGTGGGCGACTCGTTGCCCATCTTCACTATGCGTCTGAGGGATCGTCGGGTACAGGTCACCTATCCAGTGCGTCTCACCTGCCAGATTGTTGGCTATCCCGTGCCGGAGATACTCTGGTACAAGGACGAGGAGCTAATCAACGCTGACAGGCGTCATCTAATCACAGCCGAGGGGCAGTTCTTTACTCTGGAGATTGCAGCCACAACACTGGACATGAGCGGCACCTACACCTGCCTGGCCAAGAACGAGCTGGGCTCCGTTTCCTGCCACTGCAATCTGGTGGTGGACAAAGGCATTCGTGCCTACATCTCGCCCGACTTTTATGTGCCCCTCGATCCGTTCTATATGTTCCCCGAGGGTTCAGAGATACGCCTGTCCACCAAGGTGGAGGCCTACCCAGCAGTGGGCGTTACCTGGCATCGTAATGGCATGCGGCTGCGCCCCAGTCGTCGCCTGACCGCCACTCTGGACAGCAATGGTTACGTTGAGCTGATCATTGCCGAGGCCACAGTGCGGGATGCTGGCATCTATGTGTGCGTGGCCTCCAATGTGGTCGGCAAAGTGGAGACCATTTGCCGCGTGGCCATCGAAGAGGAGGAGCACACAATGGTGCAGCAGCGTTCAATGGAAATACCCAGCATCAAGACTGACGATTTGCCGTAAGTTTAACACTGCAGAGAGCTTAGAAAAGATATTTAAAGGTTCCTTTTCTGTTTTCAAGTTACTCCAAGGAACCTCTGTTTGTGGTAAAGCCACGTTCCAGTGAGGCCTACGAGGGTGACAATGTCATCATATTCTGCGAAGTAGTTGGCGATCCAAAGCCCGATGTGGTTTGGCTGCGTGATTTTCTGAATGTGAGTACGAGCGAGAGTCAAAAGCGCAAGCGCAGCAGTTGAAGCGGCAGCGACCACCCCACAGCCACCCAGTCGGACAGTCAGTTGCATTCACGGCACCAGCGAATGTGGGTCGTATTCAGTTATCGCTGCCGTTACGCCCGTTACGCGTTCGTTACCTTCTCGCGCGCCCATTCTCATAGAGGTGAACCAAGGAACGTGGGGGGCCCTACTGGCTTCAGGAAGTAGTGCAAAGTGATTTCCGCCTGTATTTTTTTTTCGTATATAAAGTGAACTCCCAGGGGGCCCACAGACGTCAGTTTTTCATTTTTCGGATTTTGCAACAGTTGCTCGTGCGGATAGATTCCAAGAAAGTTTCGTATTGATCCGCAAAAAGCGCGAACAAAGTGTCGAAAAAAAAGAACAAAAAGAAAAACAGAATCGTACTCAAAGGTAAACGGAATATGATATGACAGTGAAGCTATAATGTTGCGATGAAAGAACAATGCAATGCACAAACAGCTGCACTCGGACAAATGCGTCATTCCCAGACCCACCATAGAGGCAAGAGACACACAAATACAGAGAGATCTTATAAATCCGATTCGCTGTCAAACGCTAATTCAAGTTCAGGCCATATCAAATAACAGGCTTGTTCAGGCCATCGAAAACTGATACAAACAATTATACGATACGAGCCAAAAAGGAAAAACAAAATTATTACGAGTACACGTACTGGCTGGCTGGCTGACTGGCTGGCTAGCTGTCCGTCGTCGTGTGCAACGTGCAACCAAGGAAGCAGAAGCAGGCAGGCAGACGGCAGGGAGGCAGGCAGGAGGAGGTCAACGTCAGCAGTCACCATTCAACATCAGTTGTCAGAGCGTATACCTGTTACCAGTTTTCCTATTCGACAGTCTCGAAATTTAATTTTGTGCTTATATGGCCATAAGCTTTATCCAACAACAACAACAACAAGTCCGAGGCATAGAAACCAGCCTCAGGCCACAGCCACAGGCCTCAGACATTTGTATAAAGATAGTCGTCCGTCGTGATTCATGCTCCTTGTTGACAGACGCAGACCGAACGCTTGTGCTTATATTTCAGAGTGACCTTGACTCACATCTTGACATCTTCTATCTGCAGCCGGAGTACTATAAGGACGCGCCACATTTCCGCAGGATTGGCGACGGACCAGAGTATAGACTGGAGATACCAAGCGCCAAATTGGACTTTACCGGCACCTACTCTGTCATAGCCAGCAATTGCCATGGCGAGGCCAAGGCTGTAATATCGCTACAAATATTTGCCAAAGGTAAGATTAATTTTTAATTTATTGACTAGATTAAGGTGGGATTCCAGCTCCTCCTGCTGCATCAACTAATTTGTGTATAGGTTATCTGGGGATAGGTATTGAGCAGTCGCGGAAAGGCAATGTCTCTCCAAAACTCCCAGGCCATGCTGATCAGACTAGAGACAAACTCGGGATCGGCCTGCACCCAGACATAGTGCAGAGCCCCGTTTGTCTCGAAGATGGGACTGAGCACGCAGTAGAGCGCCTTGCTGACATTCGCCACAAACATTTGTATCTGTATTTGGGCCATGTACTTCGGTGCTATCGATTCACCAGCCTCTAAATACCTTTCGAAATCCTCCTCAGACTTTGGTGCTTTAATCTCGACAATGTGGTCATCTGTGATGCCATCTGGTGTGGCGCACAGAAACGGATAGTCCTCGTGCAGCAGCAATCCGCACTCGACGTACTCTTTGTTCTCCAGCTTCTCCGTCTGCTTCAGAATGAATCGCTTGTGCTGTTTCAGCTGCATACGGTCTTCGGTGTTCCTGTCGCGTCCCTTGCAGAACATCATGTTATAGATCGTCTCATCGTCCTCGGCCGTTTTCCGCTTGGCCACCAGGTTTATCATCGAGCAGCGAATGCGCATGTACTGCGTTTCCACCCACAGCCGCGACTTGTACTGGTTCCTGCTCACATCATTCAAGCTCTCGAGGAGTCCGATCTGTGCCTGTTGCTCCATGTGCTGTCGAAAGCCCTGGACATCGTGTATGTTGTACTCGTTTGCCCGCAAGAGCACGTGATGCACGAAGAGTGTCTCAAACTCATCGCTGGTCTCCACGCACTGCCGGTGCAGCGCCGATCCCCGTCCGCAAATCGCTATTTCCTCCAGCACTGTCGAGAGGAAGGCCTGTGCATCGCTGTCGCTTATTTTTTGAGAGCTCGCCTCACTCTGCAGACGCACCTCATCTTTGGGAATCATATCACATATGGGAATGGCTCGAGTGGGTTCCGGCTGTACCAGCAATTTCAGTTCATGTCCCCAAAATTCCACCACAGCTGAGGGCTGTCGCTCCGTGCTCTTGTGGAGTAGCCAAAATATAAAGGCTACAATGTGTGGACACGCTTTTAAGGGTGGGAGATTGTCTGATTAAAATTTATGCTGCGAAAGCAACGACTTCCAGATTGCCTACCAGATTCGGGGCATCGGCTGCACTGCCCCTCCGCAATGGCCCGCGGGTTTTCGAGCACTTTGATGGCCACATTGGCATGTGTGTCCGTATTGTCAAACTCAGCTGTGGAGAACACCATTGCTTTCAGTTCGCAGATGCTGCCCTGCTGACGCAATTGCACATAGTCTGTTAGGAGATCATTTTTATCCGTCGATCTATGGACCAGAAATTCTATTATTAATGTGTGTGGGAGAGAGATAGCGATAGGTTGCTTACATATTTTGTGACTTCCCGGAGGCTGCTGCCAGGCAAAAGTTATACACCATTCCACTGTTGAGGGTGGGCAAGTTGTGGATGGTTGCCTTGCGGAACCCTGGATCTATGTCCATGGGGACAATAATTATCCCCTTCATTATTAAATTATTTATAAAATTGCAATTTTCTGAGATCTTCTATAAATACCAGTGTGACCGCGGACTTATCGATAAAATATACCGAATTATACCTTCGCGGTTTCAAAATACCAAAAAAGCAGCCAGGGCTGAATCATTTGGTTAGTGGCTGAATGCATCATTTGCACTGCTTTACACTGCTTGCCAATTGGCATCTTATGGGTATCGCATGGCTTGTTTAAAAAATTTCCGTTTCGTTTCGCAGATATACTTAAAGATAGCCGCATGGATAAGGTTCACACGCGACATGGGTGAGTAACGCTCCGCTCTCTCATACGCAATGCAATTCGTGCATCAATTATATATAATTGTAACTTGCAGCAACATCGAGACACTCCCGCGATTCGTCAGAAACTTGAGAAATTTGCGGTGCTGCGATGGCGACGCCATTACACTGGAGTGCCATGTGGAGGCCATGCCCGAGCCGTACATAATCTGGGAGAAAGATGGCCATGTGGTGCCCGGCGACAAGGACTACGTGATGTCGTATGACGGCACAAAGGCCATTCTGAGCATACCCCGCGTCTATCCCGAGGATGAGGGCGAGTACACTTGCGTGGCCAAGAACTCGGTGGGACGGACGCTCTCGTCGGCCTGCATTATCGTGGATGTGCCCGAGGAGAAGGAGAACATGCTGAGTCGCCAACTGACGCGGCCAAGCGGCCTGCTCTCGGCCCACTCGACGCCCCGCTCCACGCCACGATCGACGCCCAATCGAAGCTTCTCGCCCATGCGACGCTTGTCGTACCGCACCAGCAGCATCGATCTGTCTGGGGTGGCGGAGCGGCGACGCAGCGATGCCCGAAATGCCTTCACAGCTCCCAAATTCCTTGCCATTCCCTACAACCGCGTCGTCGAGGAGGGTGACAGCGTGCGCTTTCAGTGTGCCATCGGGGGCCATCCCACTCCGTGGGCCACCTGGGACAAGGACGGACTGATTGTGACACCCACCACACGCATAGCTGTGAAGGAAGTGGACGATCTGCGCTTCATTGAGATCGATGAGGTGGGCTTTGACGATGCGGGCCTCTACCGCATCACTCTGGAGAACGACTTTGGGCGCATTGAGGCCACCGCACGGCTGGACGTCATTCGAAGCTCTCGCTATTCCAAGTCCCCCTCTGTGCGTAGTGTTCGGGCCTCCTCCTCCCGCCGCAATGCCTATCTACATAGACGCATCATGGGTCCATCCACAGGTAAGTGGATCACTTTCCCTCCTTACACTCCAAATTCCATGTAAATCTCGCATCTTGCAGCCATTGGCGGACGCATGGCACTGGCAAGTGGCTATCGAGGTTCCTCGGTGCCCTCGGTGCGTTTCTACCACAACAACGTGGAGCTAGAGCCCACGGACCGAGTGCACATTCTGCTGCAGCCGGAGGACTCAATGGCCATGCTCATCGTGGACAATGTGACGCACGAGGACGAGGGCGTCTACACCTGCATCATAAGCGGCGATCATGATCCGTTGATCAGTGCCACGAGCGTTACCTTCCACGAACCCAACACTGAAGTGTCGGAGCGTCGCGCCGTCATTGCGCAGCCCCTGGCCGAGATTACCAAAGCAGTGGAGGGCGAGGCGATCGATCTGTGCTGCACCATCGACTGCGACCAGCCCTACAGCTACCTTTGGCTACGTAATGGGCAAATTCTACCAGATAGTGACGAGTTCAAGTGAGTATGGAATGCCAGGCCCAGAGATTATCCCACGAATCAGATCTGAGAAGCGATTGCTGGCGTTTCTCTCGATTGTATTACCTGTAATCGCTGGCATTTACTAAAAGTTTATTAATTATATATTCGCAGCTACATTGATCACGGCAATGGTTGCCTCTGCCTGCGCTTGAACGATCCATTTGACATTGACTCGGGCACATACAGCTGTCAGGTGTTTACGTCCCCCAACGAAAGCACGGACATGATCCATAACAACTCCACCTTGGACTGCAGCTACGACTGCAGCAGTAGCGGGGAATTGTGCGTCTTAGAGCGTGATCTGTCCCAAAACGACCAAGAGTGCATCCAACTACTGAAGACACCGCTGCCCGTGGTCTGTGGTGCGGGGGAGGAGGCGCTTTTCTATGCGCGTGTTTTCCCCTGCGAAGCGGAAGCCGTCTGGTATCTCAATGGAAAGCCGCTCACCGAAGATATGGATGACTCACTAAACATGACGGTGCGTATGCAGGGAGGGGGAAACAACAGGCCCTATAAACATTAAGTGGTTCGGGTGCTCGCTGACGCGTTTTTGTGTTTGTGTGTGTTTGTGGAACCCAGAGAATTTGGATAGCTGCCATCTCCCAAACAGAGCTCTTCATTTGAGTGTGGTGTTATGCTCTTGCAGCGGGTATTACGACTGGGAGTAGATGTTTGCAAAGCAAAGAAGAAAGCTGCCAGCACAGTTTTAAAGTCATTTTGTTTCATCTATTGTGAATAGGTAAATTCTCTGCCACTCACGTACACGTGCATTACTGCAGTGATTCGCACCAATACCAATCCATTGCAATGTTCCGTTTTGCGTGCTGTTTTCGCAGCGTGTTTTAGAGTCACTGAATCACTGCCGTTTAAACGTTCCATTTGTTAGTGTATCAAAAAATGAGGCTTGACACTGGCTGAACTTGCTTTCAATTTCTCTTTATTGCCTTGCCGCAGGCTCAAGCCTTAGCCTCAGCCTCAGTCTCAGCCTCAGCCATGGCTTTAGATTTGTTCACACCTTGATGGAGAAGACAATAACAATAATAATGATTGTTCATACATATAGGCATGCTCATTTACATATGTGTACATGTACACAGCCATGTGTGTTGTTCATCAGTTATTGAAAACAGAGACCCAAAAGATTGAAATACTGCCGCATGTGAGCTGCATGCGAAACGATAATGTTAGTGAGGCGTCGCTGCCCAGCCCGTTCGCATGCCGCCTCCCAATCCGATGCGCCATGCTCCCGTCCAACCGATCGACGAGGAATGAAACACTCGTTCAGTGGCGCTCAAGCGGCTCACATCAGGTCCAAGAATTCCCCCAGATGACAACCTGGTTTAGTTAGGCAATAGAAGCGGTAGCAGCAGTAGCAGTAGCAATGTCGAAGGTAGGCGAGGCAAATGGATTGTTGCATTTAAGGTGTATCAATATCGTTTACATTCACGTAGATAAAATAACTTATAGATAAGGCAGGGCGCGAGTGTTGTGGGGTCGCCCATGCACAGGGCACCAGCCACTTGTCGCTGTTTTTGTGTGTGCTCCGATGGAAATGGAACGCGAGCAGCAGCAGCAGCAGCGACAGCAACAGCAACAGCAACAGTGAGCGTGAAAGTGTCATTGTTGTCGTCGATCGGTTCGGTTCTGGTGTGCTCCCGATTCTCCGCGACTAATTGTTGTACGGTTGCCATTGAGAGAGGCTTTCAGTGCTGGACTAACCATTCACTGCGACGCGTCACATTCCGCCGGATCGGAAACACTTGTGCACACAATATACATATATCCATTGGCTAGCTATAATAGTTCCCTCAGTGTATGAAAATGTTTACCCATCTGCTTTGAGGCTTCCTTTGGTGTTCGTTAATCATCTCTCTTTTGGTCTGTTGCAGTTGGAGTCGTATCCAGAGAACGGCATTCGCGTGCTGCGCCTGCGAGACGTGCAGCCCTCACAGAGCGGCGAGATTCGGCTGCAAGTGAAGCATCCACAGACGGAGCGGCGCATACCCACTGCACGGACATACACCAGTCTGCTCGTCTTGCCCATTGTACGGGGAAACAGTAGCGGCGGCTCCTCATCGCTGGCTGCCAGAAGCTGCATTTTAACACGCCCCGAAGATTGCACCGCCCTCATTGGTGGTCATGTGCGGCTAAGCGTGCGCTACGACCCCTTACCGGGCTCCCAAGTCATCTGGTACAAGGCGGTAAGTGTCAATCGAACCCCAAATAGGGTCTCAAGTGTCAACTGACGCAGGAGGATCTGCTTTTTGCTTTTGCATATGGTAATTTGTCCGGTTTTTGATTGCGCAAGCAATGTCTTGACCCAATTAGGGCAGGGCAGGCCGCTGTTAGGGGGATTAAGTTTTGTACTCTCATTGTTATGGCCATGATCCGTATCATTCTTTATCTGTCATAAGCCAGCGCCTGGCTCTATCTTTAGCTCTTGGTATGGGCACAGCCCCAGACTGTGTCACGATCAGCTTGCGGTATTGACGTATGCCGCCGTTGCCCGGCTACGTAATGGTTGCAAACCGCAAATGTGAACCGAGATGAACGTGTTTTTTTTTCGTGTGTGCGCGCCACACGAAGGTTGGCCAAAGCTCAACCCAACACTAACACACACGAACCTACAGTAACCCCATCTATATATCTATCTCTCTCTGCTATAGTGCCGTGCCATTGTTGAGGGCTCCAATGTGACAATCCGTACAAGCGCTCAGCAGTCGACGCTCTACATAACGGACATCTCGGCCGATGACAGCGGCAAGTACACGGTGGAAATAATGAATGACTACGGCGTGGAGGCGGCAGCCGCCTCGGTGGCCGTTGAGGGACCACCAGAGCCACCCAGCGGACAGCCGAGTGTATCCCTTGGTCCCGATCGCATGGCCGTGGCCTGGTGTGGACCACCCTACGATGGCGGCTGCATGATCACGGGCTTCATGTGAGTATCTGTCGCTGATGCGTGCCCAGAAGTCGCTCTTAATGGATGTTCCTCTCGTCTTGCAGCATTGAAATGCAGAGCTGCGATCCCGCGGACTGTGATAAGGCGAATGAAGATGAGGAATGGCAGCAGGTGGCACGCGTTGTGGACACCCTGGCCTACACCGTCAAGGATCTGCAGCCTCAGATGCAGTACAGATTTCGCGTGCGGGCCGAGAACATACACGGACGCAGTGCGCCCAGCCAGCCCAGCGAACTGGTGCAGATGAGCAGCAGCCAGCACGAGGCCAGGAAGGCGGGGGAGACAGCCAGCGTGGACTATGGACAGGCGGTGAGTGTGCAGTCTGGCGGAGACTTCAAGGCACGCTTCGAGATCATCGAGGAGCTGGGCAAGGGACGCTTCGGCATCGTGTACAAGGTGCAGGAGCGTGATCAGCCGCAACAGCTGCTCGCCGCCAAGGTGATCAAGTGCATCAAGTCGCGCGATCGCCAAAAGGTGCTCGAGGAGATCTCCATCATGGGTTCGCTGCAGCATCCCAAACTCCTGCAGCTGGCCGCCTCCTTCGAGAGTCCACGAGAGATTGTCATGGTGATGGAATAGTGAGTGGATCCAAGAGGTTCTTAGGCAGCTCTCTCTAACCTTTATCTCCTGTTTATCCTTAGTATCACAGGCGGCGAGCTATTCGAGCGTGTGGTGGCCGATGACTTTACCCTCACGGAGCTGGACTGCATTCTGTTTCTGCGGCAGGTGTGCGAGGGCGTCGCCTACATGCACAGTCAGAGCGTTGTCCACCTGGACCTGAAGCCGGAGAATATCATGTGCCATACACGAACCAGCCACCAGATCAAGATCATTGACTTTGGCCTGGCCCAGCGACTAGACACGAAGGCGCCCGTCCGCGTGCTCTTCGGCACACCAGAATTTATACCCCCAGAGATCATTAGCTACGAGCCCATCGACTTTAAGTCGGACATGTGGAGCGTGGGCGTCATTTGCTATGTGCTGTGAGTGAAACAAAAAGTAAAGTCCTTGGTATACTAGTGCTTATTCCATCTGTTTTCCTTGCAGGCTCTCTGGCCTTTCGCCCTTCATGGGCGACACCGATGTGGAGACCTTTTCGAATATCACCAGAGCGGACTACGACTACGACGACGATGCCTTTGACTGCGTGTAGGCTTTGAGCTGTCTCTGAATTTCTTTCTATTACTAATCACCCGTCTGTTCATAGTTCGCAGGAGGCCAAGGACTTTATCTCGCAGCTGCTGGTGCACCGCAAGGAGGAGCGCCTGACTGCCAAGCAGTGCCTGGAATCCGAGTGGCTGTGCCAGCGCCACGATGACAATCTCAGCAACAACAAGATTTGCACGGACAAGCTCAAGAAGTTTATCATTCGACGCAAGTGGCAGGTTAGTAATATCCCAGGCCAGCGGCTGCTGCTGCTATAAATCCCTACCTAACGCAATTGCTGCTCCTTTTGTGCTTCTCCCCTGCATAACTTGCCTGCTTGCTGGACTACTTGCCGAACTGCTTGCCGCCCTGCTCCCGTTGCTACTGCTTAACTAGAAAACGGGAAATGCCATTCGCGCCCTCGGACGCATGGCCACACTGTCCGCATCGCGAAGGAACTCAGCCATTGCCATGGGCGCGCTGAACAGTCCGCGACCCTCCATCTCGGGCCTGGGCATGCTGAATGCCGCCAGCGCACTGGTCAGCCCCGTGAGCACGCAAATGTCATCGCTGCATGAGGAGGAGGATGACTTTAGTGTGGAGATGCCGCACGTGGAGAAGCGGTATGCCCACGGAGCCCTGAAGCTGCGCGACAAGTCGCAGTGCAGCGAGCGCAGCGATTCGGGCTACAGCGAATGCTCCAACTGCAGTCTCGGGGCCACAGGCGTGGGTGCGCAGGAGACGCTGCTGCTGTCACTGGCCAAATCCAAGCTGGAACAGATTGCCAAGGCGACCATTAGTCCGCTGCCAGTGGTCCTGGACACACACGAGAGTCCCATCAGTCTGGAGCTGCCTGCCAAAGGCGAGGCCATAATGCGTTCCGACTTCACCAACACCATAAAGATGCGCAAAAAGTCACTGGAGGACAGTGCGGCGCGCGAGAAACCAAAACTGCATGCCAAACCGCTGTGCGAGTCCTCCAAAATAAAGGTTTCCCAGCTAAAGGACAAGTTCCAGCAGTCAAAAATTGCTTCCGCTGCTGCTGCTAACAAACCCAAGCTTGCCCCAGAGCCCAACAAGATCAGCAAAGTCGCCAGCGTGGGGCGTATACCTCGAAGTAACTGCTAGCTGAAGCTTAAAGGCTTAAAATGTAGAACTAACGCTTGTATTTTCTCTCTATTTATGTCAGCAGAGGAGCCAGGGAAGAACGGAAGCAGCAGCAAAGCAGCAAAATCCGCACAAACCCGATCCATGCCTAGTTCACCGCTGCCCCAGCGGGCTGCCACGCCAACGCGGCTGATGAGCCAGCGTGTCCGCGAGGCTACCGAGCGTCTTTCCCAACAGCACACGGTGGCAAGCGCTCAACGGCAAAACAGCAATGGCAATGGCAATGGGAATGGGAACAGTAACGGTAATGGAAACAGCAATGGAAACGTCCCAGAGAGCAGCCGCGAGTCACGTGCGCGACGTCTCATCAATAGATTCAACGAAACGAAACAGATCACGTCCTAGATTTATGTCGCTTAAATGCCGACACAAACATAACTTTATTACATTATTGCAGAAAACAAACCACAGGAGAAGAAACACTCTACGAAACACTCGAATATGAAAATGAATGCGAATAGCGATTGCGATTGCGATTGCGATGGCGAACACGGGCTTAGAGCACCCTCAACCCACAGCTCACACATCCCACAGCCACACCATAAACACACATAATACACACACATCCACGTCCACCCCACACAACTCTCTGATCAGATCAGGCAATCCGACTAAACGGGTTCAAGCACTGTACTTAGGCTAGGAGGAAGCTAAATATTTAAATTATTGTATCGATTTATATACATATCTACTTATTTACCGTACTAATTAAAGTTAATGTAACGAAAAATTAACACCTCGCAGCCTACAACCCATAGCTATCTGTGCTGTCTGCGCGCGTCTGCGTGATGGGATTATCGCGTGGCTTCAGGCGCACCCACAGCCCACCGGAGGCACGCAGTGTGATGCGATAGGAGACATCGAAGGTGGTCTTGCCGGGCACTGGCAGCAGCTGGAAGCTGCGCAGCAGCCGCGACACAATCGTCTTCATCTCCATGATGGCAAAACGATTGCCAATGCAGTAGCGCGGCCCAGCGCTGAACGGAATGAAGGCATACGGATGGCGATCCTTGGAGTTCTCTGTGGAGAAGCGCTCCGGCTTAAATTTCTCTGGCTCGGGGTAGATGTGCGTCAGACGGTGGGTGGCATAGGGACAGATGAAAATGTTGCTGCCCGCGGGCAGCGTGTGCTTCGCCAGGCGCACCTCCTCGCCCAGCTTGCGCGCAATCAGCGGCACCGTGGGATACAGCCGTAGCGCCTCCTTGATGCACATCTCCAGGTAGCGCATCTCACGCAGATCGCTCATGGTCGGCGCCCTATCGCTGTAGTCGAAGATGCGCTCCAGCTCCTCGTGGCACAGCTCCTGGCAGTCGGCATTCTGTGCCAACAAAAAAATGGTGAAGGCCACAGCGCCGCCAACAGAGTCCTGACCGGCCAGCATGAAGGTGCACGCCTCATTGACAATGTCCTCCTCGGTGAAGTCGGGATTGCTCTCGGATATCTCGATCATGTAGTCCAGCAGACACTTTCGCTCGGCATTGTTGTTGCCAATGTTGGCCAGAATCTCGCGGCGCAGCTTAATCATCTGGCGGGTGAAGTCGTGGAGACGCTTCTTCTGGTTTAGCTCATCGTTGGCCAGCTTCGTCCAGTGGTAAATGCCATCGAACAGCAGCCAAGGATGCGAGAACCGCGTGGGTATCATCAGTTTACCCTGGCGAAACGGCGACTCCTCAATGTTGATTGGATCCAGGCCCTTCTTTTTGATGGGCACACCCAGAACGGCCTCTGCGGAATGTCAGAAAGTGAGTCAAGGGTTGGGAACTGCAAGGGAAAACTCACCATTTAAGATGTCCACCACGCAGTTGTTCACGATGCTGACAATGTTGATCTCGGTGCCCACGGCGGCGGTGCCCAGCGACTCGTACAGCGACTGCGACGCATCCACAAAGGTGCCAATGAACTTATCCAACAAACTCAGATGGAATGCCGGCTGTATGAGCCTTCGATGGGTGCTCCACTTGAGGCCGCTGCTGGTTATGAGTCCGTCCCCGAGGAAATTGTGCATCAGCTGGTAGATGAAGACTTTGTTGGTGTGCTTCTGCGAGGAGAGTATGACCTGCAGATCCTCCGGCTGCAGCACCACAAAAAAGGGAAAGAAGAGCACCCAAATGCGCACGAGGGAACCATACAGATCAAAGGCCTTGGCTGCTTGACTTCTCATCACTACAAGGAGGAGACACGGAAACAATCTATCAAAGGGCATGCCCAAACGAGTATTTCATAGTTGAAACTTACAATCCTTGTCCTTGATGAGCAGACAATTGCCCAGAATGGGCAACGTTGGCGGTCCCGACAGTCGCAGCGACAGCAACACCGATCGCAGATACGTCTCCAGATGGGCATAGAATGTGTAGATGCTCAGGCTGATGACCAGCAGGGCCAGGACTGAGCATAGCTCCCACTTTGTGGCGCGTTCCAGCTGTGGAAGCAGTCGTCATTGAAGTATAAAATTGCATCGATCTGTCAATATTATTATTGGGTGTTTGCGTTTGCCCCTCAGGCTGCCATTTGCAAGAGTGTTGTTTGCTCAGCCCCCAAAGCAGCGAGACAATTGGCCCTTAAAGCTCACTTCAGTGTGCGGCTCAAACGTATTTGGAATCAAATTAACTGGCAATGGAACGACGTGCGGACTGATGGACCTATGTACTGATGGCACAGATGCCCTTGCCTCGTGTCGCAAGTAGTTGTCAAACACACACACACACACACACACACTTGCGACAATCGTAATGGCAACGAAAGTACAAGTTATGTATCCAAACGAAGGTGCCAATTGATTAAGCCAACATGGCGTATGGGCAATGTGATGGGATGATCCATCTCAAGTACTTGCAGCATTTGAGATTGATAAAATCACACGAAGGCAGCCTACAAGTCAGCGAGCAAGTATCTCAAAACTCTCGCTTTTGCTGCCTCATACCCTGCACCCTCAGTACGGAGTACGTGGTCTGGTTCGGCTCTTTGTGTGCCTGTGTTGTTGTTATTTGTTGCCTATTTGTGTCAGTGGTGCAACAGGTTACGATTAGCGGTGGCAGCCAAAACAATACACCCAAGTCGCTGGCCAAAAAAGATGACAGATGCTAATGATGATCACCTGGCAGGGACAGGCTTTTTGTTGGCTTTTTCCCACATGGCACACAATCGGAAACACCTTCGTCGTCGCATCTTCCTGTCCCAAGAGCTTTGTTCAGTTCTGGGCCCTGAACAATGTACTCCGATACGCTCGTACATATCCGTAAACGGAGCAGCTGCTTAATGGCTTTCAGCCAATATATTGCTGGGGATTCCAGGGCCAACTGCACATCAGTCGTAAGCTGATCTTTTATGGCTAATCAACGGCAAGATAAAGGCTTTTAGATGCAATTAAATAACTATTTGCATGCAGTGTGTGAGTATTGACCGAAGGATGAACATAAATAGGAGAATCTTAGCAGATACCCAAAGAGTACTGGCAAATCCGAGGCGCAAGGTCAAGGTGAATTTACTTAGCAGATATCTGCACCCTCTAGCCCCTTGTCTTTCTGACCGTGGTGAATAAGTTATAGGTCTTCCCCCACGGCAAGTAAATTCACCTTGCTCGAGGTGATGAATCAAGCGAAAAGGCTCTACAGCCAGGGGCCTTGATTTTATTCAGAATTCTCAGTGATGTAGAAATTTGAGGAGTTGCCAGTAGGAGCTCTATTTCAAATTCAATGTGGACATTTCCTGTCGATTTCCAAAAAGTCAGAATAGGGAACAGAGATTTAAATGATTTGCAAAAAACGATTTGCAATTAGAAGCTTTCAAGGGCAACGCTCCTACACCACAACACAGCACACAAAATCACACCAGCGGAACCAAAATCTCTATTTGTTCTTCTTAAAAAATGTTTACCCGTCAGCCAATGAAGCAACTCCGCTCCATGGGAAGGCTTCCGCTTTTTTCGTTTCTGTTTTTGGGCAAGGTAAAGTTCGAGCCAAGTCGAGGTATCCAGGCAGAGCTGAGGCTGTGTGCAGAACCGAGCACCCCTGTGTTTGTCTAAACATTTGGCACTTGATCACTAATAAATGCACATCATGATTATTTCTCACTAATTTCATAAATTATCATAATCATCATTGAAACGAGACCCGGCCACAGATACAAGATCCGAACATAGGCCTCGTTATGGGTCCAACACCTCAAAGAGAATTCCATTTAAAGGCGTGCCGAGAGTGGCAGATCGCGATGAGATAACCCTTTTTTCTACTTTTCACTCACCACTTTTTCCACAAACATTTTAAACACTTTATTTGTAAGTTCTTTTTAATCAAGTTTTCACATCAATCATGGGAAACAAATGGCATGTGTTGTGCTTTGAGGTAGAGTCCTTGCCGCCGACACGCTGTGCCACACGATTGATTTTGGTAATTAGCTTTTTGGGGTTGATGGTTTATGGGTTATCCGGTCACAGCTGCCGACAGTTGAGCTTCAAATGAGGGATCTCCAGCGGCATGGCGTCTACTTATAACCGATTTGGTTCGATCAAGCTCGGCTTTTGCGTACACATACACAACGCAGCACTGTGCCGAAAATACTCGTACTCGTAGTCGTAGTCGCAGTTGTACCTTCAATGGCGTGCGCGTACGTGAGCCGTGCAACCAAGTGGCTCTGGCGAGAGAGGGGGAAAATATTGTAGGTAGTAATTGCTAACTAGTCGGCTCTTGAAGTGCTAAGTAGCTAGAAGTGGAAGTAATGCTGCCAGCGAGTTAGTCAAGTGCCATGCCAATCAATTAACCATTTTTTTCCGATGTACATACTATAGTCACAATTTATGGGAACAAACAGTTGCCAGATCCCAGCCCAGCCTATGCTCTCAGCTACTCTTCAGAGCTGGTTTTGCGAACACATTTGCGTATAAGGAGTAAGCCCTCCAGCTAAAGGGCAAAGGTGAGTCGCGTGTCGCTCAAAGGCACTTGAGGCTCAAGCCAAAGCCAAGTCTCCATCGGTAGGGGTTCCATTCCCTAGCATCAATTAATTATATTTACATTTGCACATCAAAAAGCTTTGAGCTTTTAACGTCATCATAAATCCAGCCCATCCAGACACATACTTATTCGGGCATCATTTCTGTGAATATTCAAATATGGAGAAGTTATTTGTTAAACTTAATCTTCAGTGTTAAATTCCCTGAAATTCCCACATTGGTAATATTAATTTTGGGAATTCTTTTCCCTTTTTTCAAGCGTTTTCATTGAGTCATGCAATCAATAATCATTATGATTGGCTTATCGCTTACCAACTTAATATTATTTAAATCTCTGTTCTGGCTAGTCGCCGTCTCCTTATCTATTCCGGGTTGGAGTGTACCAAGAACGACATCAAAGATTACATGGGCTAGTCGAGACATCTTCGTCAGCGCCAGGGGTAAAGTTCGATGAGCAAAAAGAAATACGCCCATGACTCAATCAAATTTCTTTGGCCTTTGCTGATAATCCCCCGTTCCTTTGGCATGTTTTTGGCTTTGTTTTGGCTTATTGTGGAAAAGTCTTTAGAAGACTACCGACGGGCACAGCACGCCACAGCGCTGTTTATAATGGATATAAAATGGACACAGCTGGCTGTGCCTGTGGGTCCTATAAACTTTACTATATCGTGGCTACATTTTATGGAAATCCAGTCGAATTGCTATCGTGGGATGGATGATCGCGATATTCGTGGTTTTGGCCAGCGATAAGCTGGGGAGCCAGACCTCTATATAAGACCAGCGAGTCGTACGAATTTATTGCTTTAAACGGTGCAAAATGTCGCTACGCTTGGGACTAATTCTTGTGGTGCTGCTATCCCTGGCAGCCCTCAGCCGATCCGCTTCCCTCAACACCCGCATTGTGGGTGGCGACCAGGCGGACATTTCCGATTTCCCCTACCAGGTGTCGGTGCGCCTGGAGACGTACATGCTGCTCCACATCTGCGGTGGCAGCGTGTACGCCCCCAATGTGGTGCTCACGGCCGCTCACTGCATCAAGGGACGCTTCGCCTCGTACATTCGCATCGTGTCCGGTCAGAACTCGATTGCCGATCTGGAGGAGCAGGGCGTGAAGGTCAGCAAGCTGATCTACCACACTGGCTACAACAAGAAGACTTTTGTCAATGACATTGGCCTGATCATCACACGAGAGCCGCTGGTATACTCGAGCCTGGTGCAGCCCATACCCCTGGCCGTGGAAGCACCACCCGCGGGTGCCAATGCCATAGTCAGCGGCTGGGGCAAGCGCACGTAGGAGGATGAAGCATTGCCTGCTTTGTTGCGTTCCGTGGAGCTGGAAATTGTCGATCGTAGTGCTTGTGGCGACCAGTATATGACCAAGGATTACACCATCACCGATGATATGCTGTGCGCCGGCTACTTGGAGGGCGGAAAGGACTCCTGCAATGGTGACTCCGGTGGCCCATTGGCTGTGGACGGTGTGCTGGTGGGCATCGTGTCCTGGGGTGTGGGCTGTGGCCGGGAAGGCTTCCCCGGCGTGTACACCAGTGTCACCTCACACACTGCATGGATCGAGGAGCAGGCTGCGCCCTACCTCTGAATTCAAACAACTTGAACGGACTTAAACAGCTGCAAGCGAACAAAATAACCGAACAAATTATTTAAACATTATTAAATATTATTTTATGTACCTACAATAAACCACAAATGAGCATTTAAGTGTGAAAAGTATCAAATATTAGACAACATCGAAGAGATCAAAATGGGTGTGAAAATTGTGAACCTGAAAGAGAATTGCTTTTCCAAAAGAATCCAAAAGAAATGTAAAGTGTGATTATAATGGAAAGTAATGTTTTATAAAATAAGGAGATGAAAGGAAAGAAATTATTTCAAATAAAGGCGCGTATTTCTGTTCTCAGCGCAGAAATGAGTCGTAGAGCGTAAAATATATCGATATTTTTCTTAGATCGGCACAAAAGAGCATTTCCCTGATCATCAAATGAAAAATTCAAATACAAATCGGTAAAATATAAGGTCATAAGGTATACAATCCAATAAAAATGAGTATATATAATAGGCCAAATTGATTCTTCAATCGGAGTAAAGTATTGTATCAGTGTTAAAAGTCTTTGCAAGCTGGTATAGAACATCAGAACATCATAAAATAGAATATCAGCATCGAGAAATATGATTTAAGACTGCGGTATATTACGGTATATTCTTTAATAAAAAATAATATTGTATATTTTGGTATATTTTGAGGGTCTCACGGTATATTTTATATGTAATACGCGGTCACACTGATTCCTACATACGTGCTTTCGAGAAAAATCTGATTCTGCAACTAAAACACGATAAAAAACAAATAAAATGTCACTTTTCAGTGCATTGGGATTAATGGGCGACTTCGACGATGACTTGGGACTAATGAAGTAAGTGGAAACACAGTTCTAGTCAGCCTAAACGGCCAGCAGCTCGAAGTTTCTTTGCTCTGTGTACCTGTGTGTGTATTTGTGATGCTCGCTGTGGAGTCTGAAAATCGAACCAGCGTTGGCACAAAATTGTTTGAAGCACTCGTATATAGGTTTTCACACTGGGTTAAAAGTGAATCTTGAGAATTTGCGGGTGAAAATGTGCTTAATTGACAGATACATGCAATACTTAGTGTTTTCACGTGTGTGTGCCAGTTTGGGTATGCATGGGTGTGTGTGCGTGTGTGCGAGCAGCATGCGTGAAGAGAAGACGTAATAATCAATAATTTCAAAAGTACGACCGCAGGCGGCAGTCAATAATTGCCTTAAAATGCATTTGCTTCGTTTAATTCCGCGTCATGCTAGCAACCGCTGCAATAAATGTCACACACAGAAGGGCTATAATCAGGCAGGCCTCTGACTTATAGTTCACATTGTCAAAAATATCAGTTTTAAATTGTTTAGTTTTTGGGTGACAGCATTTGTATTTAGATCGTGACTTGAAATGAGTAAAAAGGGCAAATCAAAGGGAAAATCTCGTGGTGGCAGAGTCAATCAGTACCACGAAGTTGGGGAAATGGACGAAGAGTATAGAAGAGAGCTTGGTAAACGACAACTTGTATTAATAAATTCCATTTCCTTTAACCAGCAATCACATGAACCACACCATGAATGCCATGGGCATGCAAATGCGCTCGATGAACCGCTTGATGAACACATTTATGCCGGATCCGTTTATGCAGGTATCGCCATTCGATCCCGGATTCCAGCAGAGCGCACTGATGGAGCGCCCCCATCAAATGGCAGCCATGCCAGCCATGGGAATGTTTGGCATGCCCATGATGCCCAATTTCAATCGATTGCTAAATGCCGGTAAGCCTGAATAATACCTGAACAACCATCAATGGTAGACATGTTAATAATCCTTACCTTACCTTAGATATTGGCGCCAATCCTGGCGCATCGTTTTGCCAAAGCACCGTGATGACCATGTCATCGGGCCCAGATGGTCGACCACAGATCTACCAGGCCAGCACCAGCACCAAAACTGGTCCAGGCGGCGTTCGCGAAACGCGTAAAACAGTCCAGGACTCTCGCACAGGCGTCAAGAAAATGGCCATCGGTCATCACATTGGGGAGCGAGCCCACATCATTGAGAAGGAGCAGGACATGCGCTCGGGGCAGCTGGAGGAGCGTCAGGAGTTCATCAACCTGGATGAGGAAGAGGCCGAGCAGTTTGATCGCGAATTTACAACTCGCGCCCATCGTGGAGGCGGTCCACACGGCCGTCACGGTGGCATGCAGGCCATACGCGCACCTCCGCCAGCAGCCTCGACCTCTACGCTCACCATTGAGCCGCTCGATGATGATGACGACGATGATGACTGTGTGATTCAGGAGCAGCAGCCACAGGGCCGCTCGTCGGCTGGCCGGCAGTTGCCAGCGCTGCCAACACCTCCTACGGCTCCGCACGGAAGGTGAGTGTGTGTGCCCACAGTCCGTTACTGTGTGGCATGCAACTGCATCAATGCCTCCCATTATGCCCCAGTACGTGGTACGCCCTGCCAACTATGTGTGTGTGTAGGTCTAGCAATTTGCGTAGTAGCATTTGGAGCTATCCCAGACATCCCAGACCACAGACTTCCCACAAACACCCCCCACCTACAACCACTTGTCTAACCGTCACACAACTTGTTGCTAAATTTGAAAACATTTGTATTTACTTGCAGATACAATTACTAAAATCTAACGTACATACAAGTATATTTTACTAACTATCAGAAAAAGAATTGAATTGCATATTATAAATGTCTGCTTTTACCATTCCCAACAACGTTCAAAGAAAGCCAAAGCCAAAAAACCAAACCAAAAACCCCGAAAAGAAAAGCAAAGAAAATATATATAACAAATAACGATCATATATGTAACTCTATCTATAACGAAAGAAAGACCAACACTGAGATGAGGTAGGCGGCACCTTCCTTCCAAAGAAGATCAAGAAATGTTTTTAGTTTTTATAAAATTTGTTCATTACTTTGTTCCTCCCTTTACTTTGCTCCCAAACCCACGACTCCACGTTTTCTTTGATTAATTCTCTTTATCCATTCATCGCAATCCTTAACCCCCCAACTTGAACGCGTTCTATGGACCGCCACGCCACGCTATAATTACAGCCAAAAATAGTAATCAAAATCACACACCAAAGAACTCGCCAAAACGTATTGTAATATTTTCATACTTTTCTTCGACTCGATTCCATACGACGACAGCCGCAATGCTACAGCAGCAGCAGCAACAACAACAACTTCGTCGTCCCCAGCGGTCCACGATCCATCGAACAACAACTACGTGAGCATTGGGAATTCGCGACGCGCCTACATGCGCAATGGGCAACACTTGGCCACTCCCCGCCGACCTCTGCGTACCCCCGCGTCCTCGCCGCTGGCCACGATATCCAGCGGCAGTCACAGCATTGCAGCCACGCCAAGGTTTGTTACCCCAGCCAGCACCAGCACCAGCCACAGACCAAAGTCTGCCAAAGATTTGGCTTAAACTAATGCCTAGGGAGCCCAACCTAAAGTTATCCAGCGCCAGCAGCAGAGCTGCCTTACGTTACGTTCAAGTTCTATAGCTTAGCCTGTCTGCCTGCTTCGATATTAACGCGTTGATAGAATGTGTTCGGAGTGCCGAAACGAATCGAATCCTGAAGTCATAATGTTGTCCGATCGACATGTTAGCCCCTGTAGAGTTACGTTACACTCGCAATTTACATCTCTATTAACGACTTGTTGCTCTCTCTCCCTTCTTCTCCAACAATACTTATTATGTACTTTCGATTTATGCAGAGACTGGCGTCTATATAACTCACGGTTCCATCGAAAGTAGAACCACAACGCAACCAAAGCAAATCAAAATCGAATCTTTTTTTAATCCAAGCAAAGCAAAGCAAGCAAGCAATATTCATGTAACCATATTTAACCCAATCAAACAAATCAACGCAACGCAATGACCAACTACAGCATTCGGCGTTCTTCGATCACCGTGCGGTGCAGTGCAATACTAACCCTCGCCGATATGACGTTCGGCGGCGTCATCAATGCTATCTACGCATCATCACAGCCTCAGCCCCAGCCACTCGCAACACCAAACACCAACCATCGTAACTTCAACTCCGTCAACGCAATGCAGCAACAGCAGCAGCAGCAGCTACGTGTTGTGCCACATGCTATGTGTAAGGCTGCCGCAACCAACTCTCCACCCACCCAATCCCACACACACCACACCACAACCCACTCTCACACTTTTATCTCTCTCTATATACTCGCATATGTATAACAAGACAAGCATGTAGCCTGTGCGAATTGTCTTTTTGTCGTACTCGTACTACACCACCACCCCGTAAATCCCTCGAAAAGTGAATCGCTAAATCCGTAATCCTTCAGCTATCATCTGCGAGTGCCACACGTTTAAGACTGCGCATTTAATTTATCTACTATGTACCTTTACGTTTTTACTCTGTTACGACGACAAATTGTAATTCATCGACGCTAATTTTAACGCAAAATTCGAACGTTGTTGTTGCTGCTGTGCCTACGACGACTGTGCCACCGCCACTCACACTACTAACTGCGCGCGACATACCCGGCTGCTGCCTCCCTCCATCTTAATCATGCCTTAATCATCATCACCAACCCTCGCCGACTGCTATCTTCCCGCCATCATATTACCATTTACGTTCGAATTGGCCTGTCTGTGCGAATGATTACGTATACTTTGAGTCTTTTGTTTAAGTTGGTTTCGCCTTACGAAGTGATTTGTTTTGCCAAACTTTACTAATTTAAGTTTATTTATTCCTTCACTACTTCAATTACTAGCATACATCCACATCCTTATGCGGCACATCCAAGGCGCCAGCAGCGGCCCATGAAGAACAGCCACCAGCAGCAGCACGCCACAGAAGATGGCGGCGAAGCAACAAGTTCCAAGTCGGGCAAACGGGTCAAGAAGTAGAAGAAAAGCTACAGGCTGCAAACCCACACACACAATGCTTCATCTCTAACCACGACACACACACAAGGACACTCATACACACACTGGGAAAGCTAACGCTGATCCTGTTCCAAAAGTACACTTAATTATAATATAGAAAAGATAAAACCACACCCCCCACACAGAACACAATTACGCGGCCGTTTTGTGCGCATTCCTGCCTGCAACTATCGACACAACTATCGTTTGTCCGCGACA